TATTCTATCTCATCCAGGTACTGCTGTTCTGTCTCAAGCAGAAGGCATTGTGATTGTAACTAATGCTGATGGTACTACAATGCACATTCGCACCCCTGAGGGGGTTCCTTTGGAAACTGTGGAAGCACTACTGGCAATGGAAGCAGATGGCCAAAGTGAAGATATTTTGCTCTCGCAAAGTGAAGTGGAGCCATAAATATAAAAACCTGTTTTATTTATACATGCTTTCTTCTGGAAAAGACTGATCATATCAAATGTATATTTTTCTAATGTGAATATTGAAATTAACTTATTTGTAAACATTTCTATGACCTGTACTTTTTTATAACTTATGTTTATATTAGCAGTATTGCAACCAAAAATTCTAAGGAATGACTTTTGATTCAACTTGTGCTCTTAATTGAGTGTATGTGAGGGGATGTGTGTGGATACCTGTCAACCCTAGTTTTGATGCACTATTACCTTTTTTATTATATATTAGTTTTACTCTTTGGCCAACAGAAATGCAATATAATGTGTTGCACTGCCAGTTGTCAGTGCTATGCTGTATACTGGCAACCTGTATATGGGCAAAATAAAAACATTAAAAGAAGCTGTATTTTCTATATATTGGAGGTTTTATCTTACCTGTATTAGAGTGTTTTATCTTAATTGCAGCTAGTTGAATATTCAAGTTATTTTATTAGTGCACATGACTTGACACAAATGTATAACTGGAAAAATAAGTTATTAGCATTTCAGTATTCCAAGTAAACTTTCATTTTTCAAAAATGATACTGTGAAAAGTGACAGTATAAACTGCCAGATCACAATACAGATCAGCATGGGCTACTATCTACTCTTGACTGCTGCAAGATAGCATGCAAAGATACCAGTCCTGTAGAACCCCAAAGCATTATCTGATTCCTACTAGCATTCTGAAGAGTATCTGACCAGGTTGGTTTAAGATGCAAGGTAAAGTCAAACAGTGCTGATGCTGTATGACAACCAATTGTGAGATGCTTATCTGAACATTAATCTGCATTTTTTTTTATATGATAGCATTTTTTCTTAAATTCCTTCCTCTCACAGGCTCCTCTCCATCTCTGATAGAGCTTTGTCTAAGACCCCATCTTTTTGGCCAAGCAGAAGCACCATCTTTCAGAGCCTGTCACTATTAAGTAAGCTTTGCTCTTGCTAATAACAAAGCAGACCTCTACCCTTAGATCAGCCCAGTCTTCTTCATATTTAAAAAGTTTTTCTCATAGACATAGCACTGAGTTTTAACCTCTTATCTAAGCAAGGTAAGGGAGAAGCTAGCAAAAAAAAGTTTCTGCTGCCCATTAGCTGCTAGTATCTTCGATCTCACTGGTAGGCTTCAGAACATAACATGGTACTGACACACCATTAAATTTAATGCTCTGGTGGATGACCACCACCTGTCTAGACAATAGAAGTACATTCATACTCATCCTAATTAGTATCGTTGATACTGTTGATCACCCAAATAAGCCTGTCTGCTCTAAAAAGCTGCATAGGTGACCACAACCATCCTTAAATGGCTCATGACATTCCTCTTTTTTCTGACCTCAGAAGGTCACAATGGGTAATTGTTCCTCCACCTCTAAAGCCTGCAAGACTCTGTCCTCCCAAGTTTCTCAACATCTGTATGAGGTTGGGTGAGAGTTATTGAGAACAGGGAAGTACCTGCAATATGCAGATGACCTCTCCTTCAGTCCAGTCTAAGCAGCACTGTCTTTCTCAATACAGAGGCAGCAAAATCACCTGAATGAAGAGCATCAGGCTAAAGCTGTATCCAATTAAGATAGAGATTACAATAAGATGGAAGTGCTCTGAAGAATTTGCCTCTTCTATAACATCATTCAGTTTGTTGGATTAGCCTGCAGTTTTGGGCTCTGTTTTGGATGCCCAAATGCCCACCATGGCAAACAATGGTCACTTTATTTACGATTGTCCAGAAAATTAGGCTATGACCTATGAGATGTAAGCCTGGACACTAATTATGTATTTATGACTTTGATTCTTGCAAGTTAAGACTGAAACATACCTCAAAGAAGCCCCAATTACTACAGAATGCAGTATCCTATTAACCTGGGTCACCATGAAAACTTCCCCCCCTGTGCTGTGCTCTGTATTGACTCCCTATTGAAAAGTATCTAGTTTGAGGGCTTTGAGTGTCAAGACTTCATGTGGTTAGGACTGCTACCTGAGAAAGCACCTTTTCCACTGCAACTGTGACCTTGCATGATGGCTGCATTCCATCAGAACAAACTCTTAACCAGCAGGCAGTCTCAGGAATGTAGAAGACAATTTTCACAGGTGCTGGACCTAAATTCTGGAATTTTCTGCTGCAAGAAATAAGAGTGATCTACAGACCTTACCGTGGGCAGAACTAAATGCAAAACTCATTTCTTCAATTACAGACCTAAAAGTTGCAATTGTCCAACAAAAAACCTTCAGAAACAGACTCCAATGAGAAACTGCAGAAGTGGAATTAATTTGCAAATTGGACACCATTAAATTAGGCTTGAATAAAGACTGGGAGTGGATGGGTCATTACACAAAGTAAAAACTATTTCCCCATGCTAATTTTCCCCCTACTGTTACTCACACCTTCTTGCCAACTGTTTGAAATGGGCCATCCTGATTATCACTACAAAAGTTTTTTTTTCTCCAGCTGATGATAGCCCATCTTAATTGATTAGTCTCGTTAGAGTTGGTATGGCAACACCCATTTTTTTCATGTTCTCTGTATATATATATTTTCCTACTGTATTTTCCACTGCATGCATCCGATGAAGTGGGTTTTAGCCCACGAAAGCTTATGCCCAAATAAATGTTAGTTTCTAAGGTGCCACACAAGTACTCCTCGTTCTTTTTGCTGATACAGACTAACACGGCTACCACTCTGAAACCTGTTTCCATGAACACAGTACATCTACTCTCATAATTTTAGTAAGCTGTATCTAGAATCATAGGCCTGGAAGGGACCTTGAGAGGTCATCTCGTCCAGACACCTGCACTCGTGGCAGGACTAAGTATTATCTAGACCATCCCTGACAGGTGTTTGTCTAACCTACTCTTAAAAATCTCTAATGATAGAGATTCCACAAACTCCCTAGGCAATTTATTCCAGTGCTTAACCACCCTGACAGGAAGTTTTTCCTAATATCCAACCTAAACCACCCTTGCTGCAATTTAAGCCCATTGCTTCTTGTCCTATCCTCAGAAGTTAAGAGCAACAATTTTTCTCCCTCCTCCTTGTAACAACCTTTTATGTACTTGAAAACTGTTATGACCCCGTCTTCTCTTTTCAAGACTAAACAAACCCAATTTTTTTGATCTTCCCTCATAGGTCATGTTTTCTAGACCTTTAATCATTTTTGTTGCTCTTCTCTAGACTCTCCAATTTGTCCACATCTTTCCTGAAATGTGGCGCCCAGAACTGGACACAATACTCCAGTTGAGGCCTAATCAGTGCAGTGTAGAGCGGAAGAATTACTTCTTGTGTTTTGCTTACAACACTCCTGCTAATGCATCCCAGAATGATGTTTGCTTTTTTTGCAACAGTGTTACTCTATTGACTCATATTTAACTCGTATCTAAGCTGTATTCATAACTACTTATTGCCGATTTTCTTATTCTACTGCTCTAGAATTTTTTAATGATTAGAACTTCAGTGAGAGTATAGTAGCTTACCAGCCTGTCAGGTGCAATCCTTCCTCTGTTCAAAGGAGACTGTCTGCCCAAATAGTATGAAGAGAAAATTTAACACCCATTTTTTTCTGCAAGTACATCGTAAACATCCATGAGAACTTGAAATGTCCCATAACACTTCTCACTGTATTTATTGCTAGGAAGTAGTGATACTATGAAATCTGTAGTAACAGTTCAAAGCAGCTTTAAGTAAGAAAAGTAGACAATTTCTAATATAGCAATATCTGTTAACACAACGGGTTTTCCGATTACTTATTTAATGGGGTTAATCAAAATGCTGGTGTAAAGTTTAGTCATGTATAATCTCAAAGTTTTAAAGTGTTCAGTGCTTTTTGAAAGGGGTTGGTTTGACAGCTGGAGAGCACTGAACCGCTACCACAGCAGATTCATCCCTGTCCTGGAAGGACCACTTAAGGTGAAGCAGTAAATATATTTCCATGATCATTCAATTTTTGGCATGTCAGAAAGAAGGGCTCCTCTTTCAACTGTTTGTTTTGGGCTAACAGTCATCTTATTGCAGCTGGCAGAAGCAGATCTAAGGATGCTTATAAATAGCTCTACAATGTATGTAATAGTTTCATAACTTGTAGTTTTTCAACATAGGAAAGTCATTATAAGAACAGATAGGCATTTTATTGTTTGGGGGAAGCGAGAATAAGCTGGATATAGTGATACTTCTAGATTTGTATATATTCACTATAACAAAAGCTACTTCATTAAGGGATTGACTCTGCTGCTATTTAAATCAGTGGCAGAACTCTCATGCCACAGTGGTACAGTTTCAGATCTTAGTAATTGCCTATGCCACCCTGAAACTTCAGAAAACGTGTGGTATGTACACAAGGAAAAAACAGAACATGTTTTGTCTTTGATTTTGTGTAGTGTGGCAGTTCAAAACAGAAGTAGCAAGACATTCAGTGGGTGTCAAGTTTGGTGTCAGGAATGATGGTCCAGGGGTGAGGGCTGTAGCCTAAGACTCCCATAATCCAGGTTCAGTTCCCTGTTCCACTGCAGTCTTCTGTGTGATCTTAGACCCAGATCCTCAAAGGTATTTAGGCACCTAATGCCCATTGATTTCAACTGAATTCAAATAAATACCTTTGAGGATTTGGCCCTTAGCCTCTCTCTACTTTGGTTCCCCATGTGTAATTTGGGGATAATAGCACCTCTAAAATTGTGAGGTGTTCAGATACTACAGCGAAGGAGGTAATATAAGTACCTTAGATAATTGCTTTATATCAACCAAGAGGAGGAGTGACAAATGAAACAAAATTAAATACAAACAGAGGAAAAAAACATTTTAATAACCTTATAAAAATACAACGTATAATTAACCTTGCAGTTTGTTGCTGCTTCAGTGTCACATGAGTATCATTAGAAGTAGTCTTAAATGCTACGCTTGTCTATGTCCTGTTTCCAGCAACATGCTTTCTAGCAGTAGTTTGCTGCTGTTCTCAATATAGGGCTGGTACAACCAAGACGATAAATAAACCATCATAAGATCCTGGTCAGCAGTATGAGCAATCTCTTGCACAATCGTTTGCTTAAGTCGTATTTCCTTCTTGTACATTTCAGTGAGCTTGAAAGAAACCTCATCTGAAATGGATTGAACAATTACACACACCATTTCTAATCATATATAAGCAACTCTGAAAAAGTAATAAATCAATACTTGTGCTATACTAATCATTTTTTTAAAAATAGCTATTATAGTATGCAAGCTTGTATAACTACCCCCTCTTCTTTAGGTAAGTCAGCCATCCTGATCTTTACAGTAGTTAACAACACTCCTCTTCATTGCAATATGAAATGCCAAATTTATTGCTCATGTATTGGATATATTTCTACCACACAGATGCTTTTTCAGTATAAAATCCCCTTTTATTTCTACATCTCAACAGCAGTGTCTTAGAACCAGCTATAAAAATGGTATTATTTTAAGCCCATTTCTTTAAAGGGACATGTTGGTTTAAAAATGTAAAGGTTTTATAATACTTTGAATAAAAACTCTGCATATATTTTCTGGATACCTTGATATTTTTGAGCAACTAAACCATAATCTGCATACTGTATTAACACAAATAGTGCAAGTGCTTGAGCACCAGGAAGTAATGCTGATCTGTTTAACTAACTACACTCTTTGTGAGTGAAGAATAAATGGTGAAAATAGTTTGAAACTGAAATATTTGTCTAATGTACAGAGTTACTAGTAATGCTGGTAAGGATATTTTAAAAATGTTTCTGGCTATTGTCCCTTGATTTGCTGGACCCAGTAAGTGAACAAAATATTTGACAATAAGGGCCCAAGCCTGCATTCCTTGTTCACCCAAAATTCCCATGGAATTCAGCCAGAATTGTAGGTAAAATTATTACAACCACATTTCTTTGGATTTTTTCAATAACAGAGGGTCCAGCACATCCCCTTTCCCCTGCCAGTCTTCTGGTCAGCAGAAACCAAGACATGAGAATCCCACTACTCTAGGGCAGTGAACTGAGGAGCAGGCGACACACTGCACAAAAGAACTACTTCCAATTAATCAGAGAAACAAATCTGTTGCCATCCAGTTTCTGAGTTCCAAGAATTGTAAAACTGCAGTAATGCTGCTTGTCAAACAGACGCACTTGAAGCCTGCTCGGTTTTTTTAGATTGTTAAATAACTGGAAAGGCAGAGAAGCCCTCACCTACACTCTGTCACCAAGTGAATGCTGGAAGGATCTGCATTCCCTGTTTTTGGTGGTAGAGTGATGAGCCTTCTCTTTCCTCAGTCTGGACATCCTCTTGATCAGAGCCCTTTTACAACTCTTCTGTGTCTTACAATTAACTGAGGTGGGACTCCCATCTCCCACCTAAGAATAAGCCCCATTCTACAAATTGGACTGTAGAATAGGACTCAATGCTTCCGACCGCAGATATTTTTGCTCTTTGTATAGGGAGTAGCTATTGCAGCTTTGACACTTCTAGCAGCTGCAGATGCTTGTTTTAACTTGATCTGTCCGTATGTCTTAACACTGTAATTATAATGTGTGAGTTGCTTTGCAATTTACATGAGCTGTCAGTGGCAATAACCTCAGTCAGTGGTTCACAAACTTCTTTGGCAGACTTCATGCCCCATTGCCACCTTTACTTTTTCCTCCCTTACCAAGGGGCTGACAGCTGGAGCTGCTGTCGCCATCTCCAGGTGAGGGATTTGGGGGGTGGGGGAAGAGGAAGAGCTGGAGCCTGAGCTGCCTCCCAGTGAGAGCTGGGGCGGGGGAAGAGGAGGGGAGAAGGAGAGCCCTGGCGATGGAGCTCCGTCTAGCCCCTTTATCCCCTCCTCCCAGGTGTGCACAGCCCTTCTGCAGGAGCCCCAGCCGCCTGGGGCTAACAGCCAGGGCTCTTAAAAAAAAAAAAAAAAAAAAGTCTCAGCTCACATCTCCCTTGACACATTCCCACACCACCCTACGGAGGTGCGCCCCATAGTTTGAGAACCACTGCTTTAAGTTAATTAATGCAGTAACTCAGGGGTTCTCAAACTGGGGGTCGGGACCCCTCAGGGGGTCACGAGGTGTCAGCCTCCAACCCAAACCCCACTTTGCCTGAAGCATTTATAATGGTGTTAAATATATAAAAGTGTTTTTAATTTATAAGGGGGGTGTCGCACTCAGAGGCTTGCTATGTGAAAGGGGTCACCAGTACAAAAGTTTGAGAACCAGTGCAGTAACTTCTCTATTGCTTACTCAGTTAGAAAGACGGACTCTCTCATTACATAAGGCAAAGTTACAATCTTATCTAGATAAAAGTTAACAGGGCATATTTTTTCAGTTCTTCTAAATTACTATTTCAATTTCAAATGACATCAAATGTCCTTTAAAATGCTCCTCATTGGGAAATACTAATGGATAACTTACAAGTAAACAATATTCTACTTACAGAAGTACGTAGTGGGCCATGTGTGAAAGAGTGGTGTCCTGCAATCTCCATTTTTATAATGATATGTTTCTAAATCACAAATTCCTTTAGTAGTTGAACACAGTTTTTCCATTTTCAGTTGTATTTTTGCCTGAGAATGATTAGAGTTTCAAGTTAATAAACATTTGGGGCATTTTATGCTACTAAGATCTTACAAGTATTAACTATTAATGAAGTTCAAAAACACTTTACGTGACTACCTCAACCAGATTCATGAAATTTCTAATTCACTTTTATGGCTGCAAAAAAATAGCTATTAGTGGGACTAATATAGAGATTTCATGTGAGAAACACTTGGTGTTTCAAACATTGCATGTACAGTTTATTTACTTCTATTTTGAACATTTCCCTAGCTTTAGTCTTTTTTTAAAATCCTAAATCCAAGTTTACCACCCAGAAAGTTGGTAAAGCTCTGTCTCAATATTCTTGTTTTTCTTCCTTTATAACAATTTAGTACTGGTGAAAGGGGCTGGACTGAGGGTGAAAGTTGCTCTTTCCTACAGAACAGGTACCACACAGGCACTGAAAGTGCAAGCTTCCCTACCAACGTCCCTCAGCCTTAACCTGGTAGGATCACCTCTAGGTATGGAAAAACAGTTAAGTCTCTATGCAATTTCAATCTTTTACTCCCTCCGAAAACTGCCAATAATTAGGAAAGTAAGTGCTAACTGCAGTGTGGGCACTTTTCCATAATAGTAATCTTGAAGGATTAGAAAGGTAGAAGGGAATTAACTATTGTGCATTATCTAAGGTAACAACTGATAGAGCTAACCGATAAGTCTCAAAATGTAACCGTAAATAGAGAATCATCATCCAGTAGGTCTGTTTCTAGTGGGGTCCTGCAGGGATAGGTTCTTAACCCTATGCTATTTAACATTTTTATCAATGACCTGGAAGAAAACATAAAATCATCACTGATAAAGTTTGCAGATGACACAAAAATTGGAGATGGGGTACATAATGAAGAGGACAGGTCACTGATTCAAAGCAATCTGGATTGGTTGGTAAACTTGGTGTAAGCACAATATGCCTTTTAATATGGCTAAATGTATATACATCTAGGAACAAAGAATGTAGGCCATACATATAGGATGGGGAAAGCAGTGACTGAAAAAGATTTGGGGGTTGTAGAGGATAATCAGCTGAACATGAGCTCCCAGTGTGACACTGTGGCCAAAAGAGCTAATGCGATCCTGGGATGCATAAACGGGGGAATCTCAAATAGGAGTAGAGAGGTTATTTTATCTCTGTATTTGGCACTGCTGTGACCGCTGCTGGAATACCGTGTCCTGTTCTGATGAACATAATTCAAGAAGGATGTTGATAAATTGGAGAGGGTTCAGAGAAGAGCTACAAGAATGATTAGAGGATTAGAAAATATGCCTTATAGTGACTGAACTCCTCGAGTCAATCTGTTTAGCATAAAGAGATGGTTAAAGGGTGACTTGATTATAGTCTATAAGTGTCTACACAGGGAATAAATATTTAACAAGGGCTCTTCAATCTAAGGGCACGTCTTCACTACCCGCCGGATTGGCGGGTAGCAATCGGTCTATCGGGGATCGACTTATCACGTCTAGTGAAGACGCGATAAAATCGATCCCTGATGGCTCTGCCGTCGACTCTGGAAATCCACCGCGGCAGGAGGCGGTAGCGGAGTCGACGGCGGCGTGGCAGCGGTCGACTTGCCGCCGTCCTCACAGCCAGGTAAGTCGACCTAAAATACGCCACTTCAGCTACGCTATTCACGTAGCTGAAGTTGCGTATCTTAGGTCGACCCCCCGCTGTAGTGTAGACCTAGCCTTACAGAGAAAGGTATAACATGATCCAATGGCTGGAAGCTGAAGCTAGCCAGTGCTTCTCAAGCTATCTGATGTGGGGGACCGGCAATTTTTCCCCCCCCCAATGTGCCAGGGACCGGTGCCATATTATTATCCTATTCGATACTCTTGTGAGGAAACTCGCCGCGGACCGGCAGCCGATGGCTCGCGGACCGGCACCGGTCTGCGGACCACCACTTTGGGAAGCACTGAGCTAGACAACTTCACACTGGAAATAAGGTGTAAAATTGTAATGGTGAGAGTAATTAACCACTGGAACAATTTACCAAGGGTCTGGTGGATTTTCCATCGCTGACAATTTTTAAAATCAAGATTTTATGTCTTGCTAAAAGATATGCTCTAGGAATTATTTTGGGGACGTTCTATGGCCAGTGTTATACAGGAGGTAGATGATCACAATGGTTCCATCTGGCTTTGAAATCTATGAAACCATTAATAAAATCATTGAGGCTGGTATCAGCATCTTACTGTAAAGAATTTAGGAGCATCATGGTCATGCTGTAAACTCCTGAATATATGGTACATATGATTACAAACTGGAAAATAAAATATTTATATATGCATTGTCTAATACAACACAAGATGCTTTGACTTTAATTGCTCAACAGGAATGACAATTTACATCAGTGCATTTAATGGGCTAAGTCATGACAGTAACTCAAACTAAGAAACAGAAGCATTATTCTTACTTTCTCCAGAGAACCAAACTTGTTGAGGAATCTGGAGTATTTTCCTGCTTATACCAATCATTGGAATTTTCTCCAGTTTGCACAGAACTGCTCAATCTAACATCAAACCAATATCATTTTAATAGGCATTTTTCTTTATAGCTAAGGGATATTAAAGTTATTCTAATTAAGAAATAAAATTCAGAGTAAGTTAACAATGAGGTGCATGAAATTATTTCTGCAAAGTGAATAGGCTGTACATTTTTTCTGATTTGTATTACTTCTTCTCTATTTTTAATTTAGGTTACTATACCATTCTGAAGGTATGAACTACTATTACGGTAGGAACGTCACTAATCTTCACCTGTATTGGCTATTTCCAAAATTATTGGGGTGACAATTCTTAATAGTGTGTCCACTCATTAAGTAGGTTAGATAACAAATGTCCACTCTGTTTCCTAAAGAGATGGGAGCTGTAACACAGAACTGCATTTAGGAAAACTGGAAACTGAATTATGTCCAATCAAACAAAATATAGTTCTTAGGTGTGTTTACACTGCTATCGGAGGTGTGACTACAACATGTGCACATACGCTAGCTAGATAAAGTTAGCATGGGTGAGTAATAATGGCAGTGAAGCTGTTGCTGCATGGGATTGCTGGTCATGTATGTACACAGGGTCCCAGGTGGGCTTGTACAGCCTGTAAAGCTGTGTTTAACTGCTATTGTTACTCAAACTAGATTAAAGCTAGCTTGGGTACGCCTATATGTGCTGCAATCACACCTCTAATTGCTGCAAAGACATATGCTTATTGATACCACAGCATACTAGGTCTGAACTGTTCTATCCTCTTTCTAACTTGAGGCTTGTTTTGCTTTGAACATATTTAGGATGAGAAAGAATAGACAATAGGTACAATATTGACATTGTATTATTTTGCAGATTTTTTTTTAAATCATACTATGAAAAGGGGAATAGAGGGGGAGCCACGAGAGGGAGCCAGGAGAGGGATGTAAAATCAACTTTTAAATTTTCAAGTCAATCTAATAAACATAGTACACAGTACTTCTAATCATTCGTATCCAAAGTTAGAGTAGTTCTCTGAATGAAAGCCTTATGAAAGTTTATTTTCAGTAAATGTTTAAAATGATTTAGTTAGTGGACAAACACACTTGCCAACAATGGCTTGATCAGGTTAGGGAGTATACAGTTTGAAAGATAAACAAATGAACATTACCATGTTTTCCAAGGTCCCAAGCAATTCTGCACAGAACATCTCAAGTTCTTCATTATAGTCTGGAGACAGCTTTCCACAGTCAGAGGCAATGTTGTCACATTCTATCTCCAGTTTGTTATCTTTAAATCTAAGCAAAAACATGTATTAGTGCAAATACCTGTGCACACCTTTACTCACAGACTGTAGGAATTTAAAGTCTATGCTATCCTCTACACAACTAACAAAAGGCTTGAGCCTACAAGCTCTTTCTCACATGAACAGTACAAAGGAATTGCTGTACAGGATTAGATGAATGGTTTAGCTAGTTCAGTGTTCAACTGTGGCTAGTACCAAATGGTTCAGAGGAAAGTACAAGAACCCTACATTAGCCAATTAAGGAATAGCCTGTCCACCAGGAAAAGGAAAGTTTCTTCCTAATTCCCATTAGTTACAGGTTGTCTTATGTCCTGAAGCAGGAATTATGTCCCTTCCAAAGTTATTGGCTTTTTTAAATCTTTACTATTGTAACTCAGGATGTTTTTTTGTTATTCATGTAAATGGTCAATCCCTTTTTTAATCCTGCAAAGCTCTTGACCTCAGTGATATCTTGTAACATTGAGTTGTGTGTCAGAGAAAACTCACCCAAGTAAGGGTTTGTAGGATCAAACCCTAATTTTGTAATTTAGCATTTTAAATATTGAATGTTTGTTTATTATTTGTATGTATAAAAACATTTTGCTGCAAATACAGCCCTTATGGGCTGGTCTACACCCAGCCGCTAGTTCGACAGCTGGGGATCGAAGTTCTGGGTTCGACTTATCGCGTCTGGTCTGGATGCGATAAGTCGAACCAGGAAGTGCTCGCCGTCGACTGCGGTACTCCAGCTCGGCGAGAGGAGTACCGCGGAGTCGACGGGGAGCCTGCCTGCCGCGTGTGGACCGCGTCTGAACCGCGGTAAGTTCGAACTAAGGTATGTCGACTTCAGCTACGTTATTCACGTAGCTGAAGTTGCGTACCTTAGTTCAACTTGGGGGGTTAGTGTAGACCAGGCCTATGAGGTTATCCAATTTTTACCTTAAACAGCCTTACCTGAATTTCAATCTTTTGATTTTAAACAATCACAAAATGCTACTGGTATAGAATATCAAACCTGTCCACTCTTGAAAAGCTGCCCAGTCAGGAAAACAAACTAGTTTCACAGTAAAAGTGACCTCTACATTGTCATTATTTGTAACATACTCACGGTGTGCCAATTTTCAAGTTTACAATTTTGTTTGCAGTAGTAAATCCATTATTATTCAGGGTCTCCCATTTCATCATTAAATTATGCCAGTCTGCTGCGTTATCTTTAATTTTTCTTGCACTGACAGATAAGACAGGTCTTTTTGGAGCAACAGCTGCAGGACTCTTTGCTGCTTAAAAAAAAAGAGAGAGAGAAAATGCAAACTCTTAAAAATCTACAATAGCAAATCAATGCACTGTTTTATGTTGTCATTATAGTTGTATGTGGCTTCATGCAGTATATTCCTTGCTGTTCTGTTCCTGAATGTTGACTCAGTAAAATGTAGTTTACATGCATCCTACTAACTTTAATCATAAATCAAGTTTCTAACCTGGTCAACCTTTCAGTGTAAAATAACCACATTCTTAGGGTATTGAAAAAAAATAAACTGCATATTGAGGTATTCCATTAGAACACCTAACTAATGCTGTAAAACCACTAATAAGCAATCCTATAGTATTTTGCCAATACAAGTAATGGCTATATTTTCTGAAGTCAAATTTTAATATAGCACTTCTTGGCTAGTCACTACTCTGTTAGGACTGAGTCCTTTTTACCTAGTGGTCTCTATCATGAATATTTCAGTAGGTTTTCCCAGGGTAGGAAGTGTGAAATCCTGGCACTACTGCAGGCAATAGGAGTTTTGCCACTGACTTCAATAGGGCCAAAATGTCACCTTATATTTTTACAGGATTTTAATGACAATGCAAGGCTTTGATCTTGCAAACATTTATGTACATGATTAATTTTACACAGGTGAGCATCAATGGAACATTGATTCAATGGGACTATTCATCTATGTAGTTACTCATATCTGCAATCATTGCAGATTCAAATGATAACCTAATTTCTGTCCTCAACTTTACTGTTCATCACATAAACAGTTTCTGGATAATACAAAGCAAGCTAAGATTTCAGAGGTAGTGCCGCTAGTAATAATACTGTTATTTAGAAACATACACTGAGTGTGGCTGTACATACAATTGATGCTAATTCTCTACACAGCTAAATTACTTTTCATCTGAGGATCTCAAAGTGCTTCACGAACATTAAACTAACAACCCTGGCACTTTACTAACACCCATTAATGCTAATTTGTTAAAATACAATATTAACAGCCAAGGAAACGAAGGGGGATAAGTCAGAAATTTTTGGAAGACTCTGGGCTTTCAGTGTGGTTAGACACCTAGCCACCCGCTGAGCGTTACGCACGGGAGGGGTCCCGTCCCCTTGGCTTCACGGTGCTGCGCAGGCTGACGGTTCCGCGGGATCGAGGCCCCGCAGCCCGCGTTGGTCAATTTCCTTCGCATTTGGAAATGTAACGATAATAACGGACTATAACTAACGAGATGCGCGTGCAGCCCGGCCCATGTGCCGGGGGGGGGGGGGCCGGACCGGGCTCGCCACGAGAAGGCAGCGCCCCTGTGCGCGCACGCGGCTGGCACCCGACCCCAGGCGCTGGAGACAGACCTCCCCCATCCTGCTCCCATGCGCCCCTGGGGGCCGCGGGCCTCGCTCACCTGCCATGCCCCGAGCCCCGCCGTGATAGGGCCCCCGGCCGGGCCGCGCCCCGCCTTCCCTCGGAAGTGCGCTCACGTCCGGCCCCGCCCGCCCCGGGCCCAGCAGCTGTCACTCAGCCGCGCCCGGTCCCGCGGCTTAGTCTTCCCTCGCCCGGGGCCCCGCAGAGGCAGCCCCCGCCCGGCCGGGAGACATGAGGGGCCCGGCCCCTTGCTGAGGTGAGTCAGGCAGCCACCGCTCAGGGCTCCTCCTCACGCCTCCACCCTTTTTCTCCAACAACCCTTCCCCAACCCGCCCGCCTCTTTTCCTCTCCCCACGTCTCCCCTGCCCCTTGCTGCTCTGTCGCTGGGGCTCCAGCAGAGGCTGAAATAGGGAAACTGGCCCCCCAGGTCCTCCCTCTGCTGTTGGAAACCGGTGGGGATCGTTCGCCCCTCTGCGAGGCTGTGGATACTTGCACCCGCTTTAAACTCTGCTTCCCTCGGTGAGCAAAGGGGCTGGAGGTGCTTGGTAGCCCCGCTTCATTTCATCCTTCAGCAGCCCTGCTATTCGCTGCCTGTTGAATTCTCCCCATGGGGAATCTGTTGCGCATGGCCAGTACCGGTGTTTTGTTCTTGATTCGGTTAATCTGGTCAACTATCCTGTAAACATTGTAAAACCTGGGGTGGCGTTAGAAGGAGGTATGCAGCCTAGTTGTAACAGTGTCAGTCCCAGGATATAAGAGAGACAAGCTGGGGGAGGTAATACCAACAGAAGTTGGGCCAGTAAAGATATTACCTTGCCTACCTTGGCTCTCTAATTACAAAGATGTGCAGCTTCACGCTCCCCATCCCATTTTTTATTTCTTCGGAGTGTGGAGTGGGAAACTTTTTTTTTAACTTGAGAATTAAATAAAAAAGAAAATGAAACAAACTTTCTAACCAAATTTCTCTGTGGTGTCTCTTAAAACAGTTTGCAGTGTGTGGGGATGGAGGCAGGACAGAGAATGTCAGGCTATTTAATAATAGTTTAAAATGTGCTGACGTGTGATTATTTTTATGAATAAGAAATTTAGTTAGTTAATAAAGTCTCGTAACATGGTTGCGACATCAGCACAATAAGGCTGATGCTGCTGTAGTTAAAGCCACAAATCCGGAAGTTATTTTAAGCTAAACTGCAAATAAACTTTTTGTGCCCATTTTCATAAATGTAGTTCCCAGTTCTTAGGTGACATGAGTGCTTTTAAGTAACATTTGTTACTTTCCTTTCTCTGCAAAAAGATTTTGTGGGGGAAAACTATTGCAATTTGACATGAGCTAATTAGAGTGGACAATATGAGCTATAGGTAATTAAATATTTTAACTACGGAAGCTTAGTTTTTGTTTAGCTGCTGTTATATATATATATATATGCAACACGATAACATTGAAATGTTTTAAAGTTGCTAGTTTTTTTGGTAAACACCTTAGAAATGAATGATTATGAAAAATAGTGATATTGCAAACTAATGCCATGATCCTGTAACCGCTTATGCATGTGCTTGCCTTTAAGCTCATGAGTAATTCCACTGAGTTCAGTAAGACTATTGACATAAGTAAAGTTAAGCATTCTGTAAGTTTCTGTAGGATTGGAACCTAAATACACTGTGGAAGTGTCCGAAGATGGGGACTGTTAATCATACTTGTGATATGTTTGACTCCTTCAAATACTCACAGTATCAGTCTTGCAAATGTAAGAGCTCATTTGTTTAAGAGTAAAATAATCTTGAATAGTTTGAAGTTTTTCAGTTATTAATAATTTTTGAACCAATTCAAAGGATAGTGATGTAGTTGTGCAACAGGACAGTATTTCTAGGCTTTCATAATCTCTCTATCTTTGTGTCAGGTGGTGAATATGCATTGCCTGTGGGGGTACAAGGTGGACTACTCTAAAAGTTCTTGACAATAAACATTTTGTATACTATAAAAATATATTTACACATAATTTGGATTTATAACTAGCAAGACAAACATAAATAAAAATCTTAGTAACATCTTTATATATTAACTTTGTCCAAATCTGGGCTTCCACTAGCTCTTTAAACACACACAACAATGGAAAGTTTGCAACCTTTCTGAAGCGACATGTTTTAAATCATTGACAGTATCCTGGTGCTAGAACTGTAAGATTTTTGAAGACTATATTTTTAAATGGGATGTAAACTATTGATTTTTTTAAAAAAAAGTATGAGATTTTCAGATTGGGCACCTAATGAGAGCATAGGGGGCACAAATTGAGTTGTCCCTTAAATAATTTGGAAAACTATTTTATTTTAGTGCAAAGAGGCTCCAACTGAGGTTAGGGCCCATTGTGCTAGGTCCTGTGCATATACATAATAAGAAATGGTCCCTGTCCTAAAGAACTTAAATCTAAATAGACAAAACAAAGGGTGAGAAAGGGGAAATATTATTGTACAGTCAGGGAACTGAGGCACAGGGAGATGCAATAATTTCCTTGAGGTCACACAAGTCTGTGGCAGAGCATGGAATTGAACCCTCATCTCCTGATTCCCAGTCTTGTGCCTTAATTACAAGACTATCTTCCTTTTCGCTGTTTCACAGCTGTTGAGCCATAGTCCCCGTTATTGAGACTAGAGAAGTAACAGCCAGAGAGGTTGGCTGTGGTTTTTGAGGATTGAAGAGGAAGGAGTGCCTTTTCTTCATGGGGTTGTGGAATGCATCATAAGTAAGGCTAAGATTTAGTCATGGGTATTTTTAGTAAAGGTCATGGACAGGTCACTGGCAGTACAGAAAAATTCACGGGCTATGTCCTGTCCATGACATGTACTATATACTCCGACTAAATCTTGGGTGCTCTGGAGGGGGCGCTCCGACGGGCGGAGGCACGTGGTGGCCTGAGACTGCCCCAGCACAGCTGGTGCGGCTGGCCTTGTGGTCAGTGGCACCGGTGGCTGCAGAAGTCACTGAGGTCCCGGAAAGTCACAGAATTTGTGACTTCTGTGACCTCCGTGACAGACTCGCAGCCTTAATCGTAAGGCACTTCATGCTGCTTATATTTCCACTGCAAAATCTCTTACTTATCCTGCCCTGATTTGTCACATATGGCAATCATGTTTTTGAAAATGACAATTGCTGATTCCACTGAATATGCAGAACCATTCCTAAAATTGATCTGGAAAAACAGTTTATTCCAGCCATTTGTCTTCAGTTTCCCTGATACGAGTAATGAAGGGGAAAAGTAGATACTATTGCTGTCCTCGAATAATCAATAAAGAGAAGAAGGCATGTGTGACCCAAGATCACTGTCCAGTAGTTTAAACTCGAGAGTTGCAGCTAGCAAGAGATGTTAAGAGTAACAAGAAGGGTTTCTTCAGGTATGTTAGCAACAAGAAGAAAGTCAAGGAAAGTGTGGGCCCCTTACTGAATGAGGGAGGCAACCTAGTGACCGAGGATGTGGAAAAAGCTAATGTACTCAATGCTTTTTTTGCCTCTGTCTTCACGAACAAGGTCAGCTCCCAGACCGCTGCACTGGGCAGCACAGTATGGGGAGAAGGTGACCAGCCCTATGTGGAGAAAGAAGTGCTTCGGGACTATTTAGAAAAACTGGACGTGCACAAGTCCATGGGGCCGGATGCGCTGCATCCGAGGGTGCTAAAGGAGTTGGCGGATGAGATTGCAGAGCCATTAGCCATTATTTTTGAAAACTCATGGCGATCGGGGGAGGTCCCGGATGACTGGAAAAAGGCTAATGTAGTGCCCATCTTTAAAAAAGGGAAGAAGGAGGATCCGGGGAACTACAGGCCAGTCAGCCTCACCTCAGTCCCTGGAAAAATCATGGAACAGGTCCTCAAGGAATCAATTATGAAACACTTAGAGGAGAGGAAAGTGATCAGGAACAGTCAGCATGGATTCACCAAGGGGAAGTCGTGCCTGACTAACCTAATTGCCTTCTATGATGAGATAACTGGCTCTGTGGATGAGGGGAAAGCAGTGGATGTGTTATTCCTTGACTTTAGCAAAGCTTTTGATACGGTCTCCCACAGTATTCTTGCCGCCAAGTTAAAGAAGTATGGGCTTGATGAATGGACTGTAAGGTGGATAGAAAGCTGGCTAGATCGTTGGGCTCAATGGGTAGTGATCAATGGCTCCATGTCTAGTTGGCAGCCGGTTTCAAGCAGAGTGCCCCAGGGGTCGGTCCTGGGGCCGGTTTTGTTTAATATCTTTATTAATGATCTGGAGGATGGTGTGGACTGCACTCTCAGCAAGTTTGCAGATGACACTAAACTAGGAGGCGTGGTAGATACACTAGAGGGTAGGGATCGGATACAGAGGGACCTAGACAAATTAGAGGATTGGGCCAAAAAAAAACCTGATGAGGTTCAACAAGGATAAGTGCAGAGTCCTGCACTTAGGACGGAAGAATCCCATGCACTGCTACAGACTAGGGACCGAACGGCTAGGTAGCAGTTCTGCAGAAAAGGACCTAGGGGTCACAGTGGACGAGAAGCTGGATATGAGTCAACAGTGTGCTCTTTTTGCCAAGAAGGCTAATGGTATTTTGGGCTATATAAGTAGGGGCATTGCCAGCAGATCGAGGGACGTGATCGTTCCCCTTTATTCGACGTTGGTGAGGCCTCATCTGGAATACTGTGTCCAGTTTTGGGCCCCACACTACAAGAAGGATGTGGAAAAATTGGAAAGAGTCCAGCGGAGGGCAACAAAAATGATTAGGGGTCTGGAGCGCATGACTTATGAGGAGAGGCTGAGGGAACTGGGATTGTTTAGTCTCCAGAAGAGAAGAATGAGCGGGGATTTGATAGCAGCCTTCAACTACCTGAAGGGGGGTTCCAAAGAGGATGGAGCTCGGCTGTTCTCAGTGGTGGCAGATGACAGAACAAGGAGCAATGGTCTCAAGTTGCAGTGGGGGAGGTCCAGGTTGGATATTAGGAAACACTATTTCACTAGGAGGGTGGTGAAGCACTGGAATGCGTTACCTAGGGAGGTGGTGGAGTCTCCTTCCTTGGAGGTTTTTAAGGCCCGGCTTGACAAAGCCCTGGCTGCGATGATTTAGTTGGGAATTGGTCCTGCTTTGAGCAGGGGGTTGGACTAGATGACCTCTTGAGGTCCCTTCCAACCCTGATATTCTATGATTCTATGTATGTTTGAAACCTGATTCTCCTCTGTCTTGAGCTTTTATGTTTGCGCAAAGAGGGTATCAAATATGGCCATTTTGATTGTGGAGTGTTTTATACCTTTGCATTAATTTTTCACAGCGGTAAGTGACTGTGCAAGGTGGAAGGAGTGATGATTAGGCCCATTGTGTTTAATAACCTACAAAACAAATATTTTCATTGTTTAAAAAAAACAAATGAGGACTCTTTAGCTTTGGAGTACCTCAAAGTCCAGTAGTACCTCAAAGTGAAGCTGAACTGTGTAACTACTAGAAAATGAAACTGCCTAAACTGTTTTTAATTGTGCAAGCCAAATGTAGCACAAACAGGCAAAAGTAGATTTGTTTTTCTGATAACTATTAGTTTTAACTATCTTGGGTTGAGGTAGGAATTAATGTAAAGGACTAAGGATGAGACTTCTAATCTGATATCTTCCTCTGTACATTAAACCACCACTATCCTCCAGGTGGGCTATTGATAGCAGGAGGAAAAAAAGTTTTGTAGTGATAATCAGGATGGCCCATTTCCAACAATTGACAAGAAGGTGTGAGTAACAGTAGGGGGAATAGTTCTGCTTTGTGTAATGACCCATCCACTCCCAGTCTTTATTCAAGCCTAATTTAATGATGTCTAGTTTGCAAATTAATTCCAATTCAGCAGTTTCTCATTGGAGTCTGTTTTTGAAGTTTTTTTGTTGTACTATTGCCACTTTTAGGTCTGTAATTGAGTGACCAGGGAGATTGACATGTTCTCCGACTGGTTTTTGAATGTTATAATTCTTGACGTCTGATTTGTGTCCATTTATTCTTTTGCGTAGAGACTGTCCGGTTTAGCCAATGTACGTGGCAGAGGGGCATTGCTGGCACATGATGGCATATATCACATTGGTAGATGTGCAGGTGAACGAGCCTTTGATAGTGTGGCTGATGTGAATAGGTCCTATGATGGTGTCCCCTGAATAGATATGTGGACAGAGTTGGCAACAGGCTTTGTTGCAAGGATAGGTTCCTGGGTTATTTTGTTGTTGTTGTGTGGTGTGTGGTTGCTGGTGAGTATTTGCTTCAGGTTGGGGGACTGTCTGTAAGCAAGGACTGGCCTGTCTCCCAAGATCTGTGAGAGTGAGGGATCATCCTTCAGGATAGGTTGTAGATCCTTGATGATGCGCTGGAGAGGTTTTAGTTGGGGGCTGAAGGTGACGGCTAGTGGTGTTCTGTTACTTTCTTTGTTGGGCCTGTCCTGTAGTAGGTGACTTCTGGGTACTCCTCTGGCTCTGTCAATCTGTTTCTTCACTTCAGCAGGTGGGTATTGTAGTTGTAAGAACGCTTGATAGAGATTTTGAAGGTGTTTGTCTCTGTCTGAGGGGTTGGAGCAAATGCGGTTGTATCTTAGAGCTTGGCTGTAGACAATGGATCACGTGGTGTGATCTGGATGAAAGCTGGAGGCATGTAGGTAAGTATAGCGGTCAGTAGGTTTCCAGTATAGGGTGGTGGTTATGTGACCATCGCTTATTAGCACTGTAATGTCCAGGAAGTGGATCTCTTGTGTGGACTGGTCCAGGCTGAGGTTGATGGTGGGATGGAAATTGTTGAAATCATGGTGGAATTCCTCAAGGGCTTCTTTTCCATGGGTCCAGATGGTAAAGATGTCATCAGTGTAGTGCAAGTAGAGTAGGGGCATTAGGGGACAAGAGTGGAGGAAGCATTATTCTAAGTCAGCCATAAAAATGTTGGCATACTGTGGGGCCATGTGGGTACCCATAGCAGTGCCGCTGACTTGAAGGTATACATTATCCTCACCCACAACTATTTCACATTTGGGGACAAGTCACAAAGTTCAGCCACCAGGTTTGCCGTGACATTATCGGGGATGCTGTTCCTGACGGCTTGTAGTCCATCTTTGTGTGGAATGTTGGTGTAGAGGGCTTCTACATCCATAGTGGCCAGGATGGTGTTTTCTGGAAGATCACCAATGGATTGTAGTTTCCTCAGGAAGTCAGTGGTGTCTCGAAGATAGCTAGGAGTGCTGGTAGCGTAGGGCCTGAGGAGAGAGTCTACATAGACAGACAATCCTGCTGTCAGGGTGCCAATGCCTGAGATGATGGGGCGTCCAGGATTTCCAGGTTTATGGATCTTGGGTAGTAGATAGAATACCCTGGTTGAGGTTCTAGGGTTGTCTCTGTGCAGATTTGTTCTTGTGCTTTTTCAGGGAGTTTCTTGAGCAGATGGTGTAGTTTCTTTTGGTAACCCTCAGTGGGATCAGAGGGTAATGGCTCGTAGAATGTGCTGTTAGAGAGCTGCCTAGCAGCCTCTCGTTCATATTCCGACCTATTCATGATGATGACAGCATCTCCTTTGTCAGCCTTTTTGACTATGATGTCAGAGTTGTTCCTGAGGCTGTGGATGGCATTGTGTTCTGCATGGCTGAGGTTATGGGGCAAATGATACTGCTTTTCCACAATTTCAGCCCATGCACGTCTACACTCTATGTAGAAGTCCAGTCTGTTGTTTCGACCTTCAGGGGGAGTCCATCCAGAATCCCTTTTTTTTTTTTTTTTTTTTTTTTGGTAGTGTTGGCTCTGTGCTTTTAGGATTGATCGCAGTGTTTATAGGAGTCTTTCTCCTGCATGTACTTGCATGTTTTGTTCTGTGCCATGCAGTGAGCACTCAGTTCTTTTAATCTTATGCTAATCTGATTTAACTCTTTTAGTAACCAAATAGGAATGAATTGTACCATAGTCAATTGATGCTTTTCTCTCTCTTTTGAGAGTGGAATGCTGCATTTGGGCTCAGTCTAGGCAGATCTGTGCTGGTCAAGATTGGAGAGAAAATTGCTTATCAACTGTTGGGTAATTACAATGGACACCATTTGGCACTGATGGTAATATTGACTCAATTTGAGCGGAAATGTTCAGTTTCTTGCTGTAGAATGATTTGTTCTACTAAGTGAGACTTTTTTTTAATTGGTTGCTGTTTGTACCAAACTACAGCTATTCTGTTAGCTCATTTGGAAAGAATACATTTTAACTAAAGGTGTTTTGTTGTTTTTCAGGTTTCCTTAGTGTGAAGTAAATGTGTTTGTTCCAGCCTGTAAGCTGCTGAAACTAACCCTTACCATGGCATCTGCAGCTCTACCAGTTACGTTTAAGGAGTTTTGCCCCCTGTACTATCTCCTCAATGCCATTCCTACGAAGGTCCAAAAGGGATTTCGCTCCATTGTGGTGTACCTCACAGCGCTTGATACCAATGGGGACTACATTGCTGTGGGCAGTAGCATTGGAATGCTCTATCTGTACTGCAGACATTTAAACCAGATGAAAAAATACAATTTAGAGGTAAAAATTAACTTTGTGCCTGGCTTTATCATAAGATTTTCAATTCTTCTTTAGCTGTTGGTGGCAAATTAGTGCTTACAGATCTTTCCTTCAGGAAACTTCTTTAATTAATTTTGCAATTTTGTTTGTCTTGTTTCAACAGGGGAAGACTGAATCTATTACTGCTGTAAAGTTGTTGAGCTGCTTTGATGATCTTGTTGCTGTTGGTACAGCTTCAGGCCGGGTTGCAATTTTTCAACTTGTCTCTTCGTTACCTGGAAGAAACAAACAAGTAAATGTTAAATTTGGTTACAACTTCTTTGATGTTAAATATAATCTTCTTTGACTATATGTCAGTGTGGCTCTCACGGCAAATGCGTATGCTCCGAGTCGTTTGTCTAGCAGTGTCCATCAGGCCTGCTCATGCCATCTGTGCTGCCTCATACTACCATGTGAGGAGGTAAAGGGTGGGATGGCTGAAGCTGCTATGTGGCGCAACCTGCTCGGGTCTGTGTCAAGCATTGTGCACAGGATTTGGCTGCCAGATCAGACCCAAAGTTTAGGGTACTTTACTTTGTTTGACTAATGCAGCTGATAGTCCTCATGCCTGCCATCCTGAAGAGGATACTGCTTGCCGGATCCACACTGACACACAAACCAAGAAAAATGGTTAACTACCCTACAGTAATGGTGTGGTTCTTCAAGCTGATGTCAATGTAGATTCCACAATTTGCCCTCCATCCCTGGTTTTGGAGTAATCCGTTAACAAAGTCTTCATTTTGCAAGGGAACTGAAAGAGGGTTGTGGCCGCTTCACTCTTTATGCCCGTGTGCATTTGTGATCCCACCAGACATTATTAGAAAAAAGGTTTTGTGCTTGTGGGTGTGCACCTTTGGTGGGATCTGCAATTACATCGTCATCTTGAAGAAACAGTTACTATAGGGCAAATAAATGTTCTTTCCTAATAAATTGTTGTATAATGATTTTGCACATCTAAAATGGTGAGGATCAGGAAATCCATGTACAATGAAATATCTTGTGAGTATGTTGTTAATCATGTATTAATCTTATGAAAATATTAATTTTTTTTCAGTAGCATTCTTAAACAATGTGCTTGGTCAAAAACGCTTCCATGAAATTCTTGATGTGTGATGAAATTAAATAAAATTGCTGATTAGGAATGAAGATAATTTTAACTTTGTCAATTCAGAGCTAATACTTGAAGCTGAGTCACTGAATATGCCCAGGGTCTGTTTTTCCCCCTCCCCATTACTCTTTCTTGTGTTCCCTTGGTGTCAATTTGCAGCTTCGGAGATTTGATGTGGCTGGTATCCACAAAAGCAGCATCACAGCCTTAGCTTGGAGTCCCAATGGAATGAAATTATTCTCTGGTGATGACAAAGGGAAAATTGTCTATTCTGCTCTGGATTTAGACCAGGTAAATATTTCTTTGGAGATTAAAATTCTGGTTTAAGACTGTCTGAAAGAATGTTAATTAAATACACCTCTACCCTGATAGAACGCTGTCCTCGGGAGCCAAAAAATCTTACCACGTTATAGGTGAAACCGCGTTATATCGAACTTGCTTTGATCCGCCGGAGTACGCAGCCCCCCCGCCCCCCCCCCGCCCCTCCTGGAGCACTGCTTTACCGCGTTATATCCGAATTTGTGTTTTATCGGGTCGTGTTATATCGGGGTAGAGGTGTATTTAGCAGATGGGTAAATCTTCAGTTCTTCGTAGTCAAGTTGTTTATCTGTAAGGCACGTGGAGCACTGTGGTTTCTTCATTACAACTAATGTAGACAGTGATCGTCTCCTCCCATTTTTATCTACTTTTGCATCTACTTCTCTCCCTCTCACCCAGTCATGCCCACCAACTATCTGTCTGAAGTGGACTGGATGCAGCTTCCTTTAGAGTCCAACTGGTGCCCCTTTTTAATTCTCTGGTAAGGTTACTATTCAGCAATGCAAGGCACTTCCTTACCACAGTGATCCAGTGCTTCTCCAGAAGCACTTCATAGCTCAGTATCCCGTGGTGTACAATGAAGATGAAGCTGATGCCCACTGGGTGGCTTTGCAGAATACTACCACTGAATTTAATCTTCTTGAGGGACTGTATAAGTAATGTGTTACATAAGGTTTAGCTTGACCAATTACATTGAGGATAAAGGTATTAACTTGCATCTACTTAAGGGAGGAAATGCTCTCCCAATCTAACCTCAGTTCTTTCTACTCTGGACAGACACTAAAGGATTTAATGCCACTAATTGGATCAGGATCTCGTTCTCTTGTGAACTCCATCAGTTGGATGGAGGAACGTGGATAGGGGAATGTGTAGTGGAGTTCCCATTGAACTCAGACAAATGTGATAGCTATAATGCCAGTAGAAACTGAACTTCATAGTATGGAGTTATCTATACGTATAATTCACACAGACCAGTGGGATGTCAGAGTTTGAAATCCATTTGAATGAATTCAAGGGACAATTTTTGAAAGCGCTGAGTATTATTTAATCTGTTAGTACTAGGGCTGTCATGCAATTAAAAAAATTAATCGCAATTAATTGCGTGATTAAAAAGATAATGCTGCCTGCTTCTTGTTTACAATGTCACCTGAAAGTGAGAACAGGCATTCGCATGGCACTGTTGTAGCTGGCGTCGCAAGATATTTACATGCCAAATATGAATCTTTAGCATATGTCTCCATCTTCAATTACCATTCCAGAGGACATGCCTCCATGCTGATGATGGGTTTTGCTCGATAACAGTCCAAAGCAGTGCGGACCGACTCATGTTCATTTTCATTATCTGAGTCAGATGCCACCAGCAAAAGGTTGATTTTCTTTTTTGATGGTTCTGTAGTTTCCGCATCGGAGTGTTGCTCTTTTAAGACTTTAATTTTAATTTTATGGAGATATCCCATCTCCTAGAGCTGGAAGGGACCTTGAAAGGTCATCGAGTCCAGCCCCCTGCCTTCACTAGCAGGACCAAGTACTGATTTTGCCCCAGATCTCCCAGTGGCCCCCCTTTTGAAAGCATGCTCCACACCTCATCCCTCTCAGATTTTGGAAGGCACTTCAGATTCTTAAACCTTGGGTCGAATGTTGTAGCTATGTTTAGAAATCTCACATTGGTACCTTCTTTGTGTTTTGTCAAATCTGCAGTGAAAGTGTTCTTAAAATGAACAACATGTGCTGGGTCATCATCTGAGATTGCTATAACATGAAATATATGGCAGAATGCGGGTAAAACAGAGCAGGGGACATACAATTCTCCCCGAAGGAGTTCAGTCACAAATTTAATGCATTATTTTTTTTAATGAGCATCATCAGCATGGAAGCATGTCCTCTGGAATGGTGACCAAAGCATGAAGGGGCATATGAATGTTTAGCATAGCTGGCATTGCAAGGTATTTACATGCCAGATACAAAAGTGCCATGCAAATGCCTGTTCTCACTTTCTGGTGACATTGTAAATAAGATGAGGGCAGCATTATCTCCTGTAAATGTAAACAAACTTGTTTGTCTTAGTGATTGGGCTGAACAAGAAGTAGGACTTAGTGGACTTGTAGTCTCTGAAGTTTTACATTGGTGTTTTTTTTGGTGCAGTTATGTAACCAAAAAAAACCCCCTACATTTGTAAGTTGCACTTTCAGGACAAAGACTGCACTACAGTATTTGTATGAGGTGAATTGGAAAATACTATTTTTTTATCATTTTTTTACAGTGCAAATATTTGTAATAAAAATAATATACACTTTGATTTCAATTACAACACAGAATACAATTTATATGAAAACGTAGAAAAACATCCAAAATATTTAATAAATTTCAATTGGTATTCTATTTTTTAACAGTGCAATTAAAACTGATTAATCGTGATTGATTTTTTTTTGTTAATTGCGTGAGTTAGCTGCAATTAATCGACAGCCCTAGTTAGTACTTAAAGCAACCAGTACACTTTCTAATAAAAAAAAAAAAATTACTACCAGATATTTTAATTTGAAAAGGGCTTGACTTTTAATTTCATGTGTCTTTAAAGGGTATTTGCAACTCCAGTCTGGTATTGGAAGAGCCATCTTCAGTTGTACAATTGGATTATAGCCAGAAAGTGCTGCTGGTCTCTACTTTACAGAGAACACTACTTTTTTACACAGAAGAAAAATCTGTCAAGCAAGTTGGAACACAGCCCAGAAAAAAGTAACTCTCAAATCTTAATGCAGGCACATCTGTTAATTCTAGCTTTTCAGAATAGACTGTAGAGACCCAGTGATCTGAGCAGTGAAATAATACAGCATCATTTTCTGCTCAAACTTATTAGCCACAGCAGCCACTTATATTAATATCCTACCCTTAAGAGTTTTAACTATCTTTATTCCTTCAATTATTATTTGTCAATGAAATTACTCTGCCTTGTTGAAAAATATGACTGTGACTGTGTAACCCTCTGGCAACCCTACTGTGCATAGATGTTTCTTTCCATTTAACTATAAAGTTTAACTTTCTTCCCACCAACTTGGGAGCTGCTGTGGCTTGATACAAACATAGCAGTCACCAAAGAGGGTTCAATTTTGTGGGTGAGCTTTTAGAATTCCTATGTAACATGAAAGTGATAGGATAGTCTCAGGCCTTTCTGCTATGATTGACTCTTTAATAGTGAAAGGATACAGCAAATATTTAAAAAGGTGTCTTAAATTGAAAGTACTTTCTTAGTTTTTATATTAAAAAAAAAAAAAATCCTGTAACATGGTTTTCTGGCATGTCCTGTTGCTTAATCTTGGATATGGAAGGAAAAACTGAAATATGTTGTCAGTAATTGTATATGTTTACACAGCCTGAGGATATTTGAGTGTTGAAGGAATGTTTATAATATACAGGTGTTAGGAATATGCCCATGTGTGTATCCTGTGACTAACTCAGTCGTAGGGGCATCATTTTCATGACATTTTAATGTTCAGTTTTTGTCCTGGTAGTGTCCATCTCCTTTCAGGGACCCTCATTTTACAGATGGGTGAATTGAGGCATAGAGTGGGTAAGTGACATGCCCACAGTTATACAGGAAGTCCATGGGAGAGCAGGGAATTGAACCTGGGTCTCCCACATCCTACGCAACCACTGGGCTATAGTAACTCTAATACAGCTATTGTGACTGGATTATTTCTGTAAGTGAGGGGACTCTTCCAGAGGTTGTAATGCCATTGGCTTGTGGGGGATCAGAATACAAGACTTGAGTTCTGCCCACTGCTTGCAGAGGCTGAAAGTTACCCATCATCATTCCTTAGTGCAGGGGTCAGCAGTCTATGGCATGCATGCCAAAGGCGGCACGCAAGCTGATTTTCAGTGGCACTCTGCTGCCAGCCTGGGGTTCTGTCTGCCGGCCCCCTGCCAGCTGGGGTCCAGCCTGGGGCAGTGAGGGGTGCAGACAGGTGCAAGAGGGGGCACAGCTCGGCACACCCCCACCTTAAAAATTGTTCCAGCACCACTGGGATATTTTTAGGTCCCGATTTGCTGCTTATACCACGCCATGTTGAACAGCGCACTGCGTTTGACGTTGTGCGTGCTGTCTGTCGCGATTTTTTTTTTTTCTGCTGCGAGTTGAGGGGTACATTTGATAAAATGTCAGCTCCTAAGAAAGCAAAGTTAGATGTCCATTCATTTCAGCATTTTTGGACAGACACATTTGGATTTATTCAAAAGAAGGACTGTGCTGTTTGTGCTTTCTGTTGTGAAAGTGTTTGTCGCACATCAAGTGTTCAACGACATTTTGAAATGAAGCACAAGAAAACCTTTCTTGACGAAGCAGACGAGACTGAATCGATCAAAAAGGCAGAAGCAGTGTTTTTAAATGCTTAAGTGTAAGTAAAAATCAAGCTACAGTACAAGATTGCACAGTGCACTGCAAAAAACGGAAAGCCGTTTACAAATGGGGAATACATAAAAAGTTTTTCTCAGCAGTTCGGCGGTTTTGTTTAATGATTTGCCGAATAAAGATACGATTGTATCTAGAATAAAAGAACTGCCTGTCTCTGCCAGAACAGTTGAGAGACGCATAAGCGAAATGGCAGAAAACATTAACGAAAAGTAAACGACTGCATTAAAAGACACAGCAGTGTTTAGTGTTGCAGTTGATGAGAGCGTGGATATAAATGACGTTCCACGTTTGTCAGTTGTTGCAAGATACTGTGCTTCCGATGAAATCCAAGAGGAACTTTGTTGCCTAAAACCCCTGCCTGGCACAACAAAGGGGGAAGATATAGTGGAAAGTTTTGTAAACCATTTTGAAGAACAAGGAGTTGACATCAGAAAAATATTTTGTGTGACAACAGATGGTGCTCCTGCCATGGTCGGAAAACAGAAGGGATTTGTAAAGTTACTTGAAGATCAAATTGGCTGCCCAACAGTCAAATTTCACTGTATCATCCATCAAGAAAATCTGTTTGCTAAAATTTCTAATTCAGAGCTTAATAATGTGATGAATACAATGGTGCGAATTGTAAATTTCCTTGTTGCTCGATCTGCTTTGACTCAGACAGTTTCAAGCACTGCTAGGAGAGATGGACAATGCTTATAACGACATGCCACGACTTAGCCACCGAATGTTGCTGTGAAGTGGAAAGGTTTTGGTGCGCTTTGTAAACTGTTTTGATGCAATCAAGGCCTTTTTGTCAGAAAAAGCACAAAACTACCCCGAACTGGATAATGATAAATGGCTGTGTAAGCTCATGTTTCTAACTGACATCACCGCTCACCTAAATGAACTCAACCTCTGTCTCCAGGGTGCAGGGCAAACCATTCTGGATCTTTATGAAGCCTGGAAGGCATTTGTTGTAAAACTAGCAGGTTTTTCTCGGGATATTCGAACTTCGACTTTTCACTACTTCCAACACATAAAAGAGCTATCGACACATTGCACTGTCAGTGTCGATGAGATTGGAATGTACATGCAAGAACTGGAATCAGAATTTTCTGACAGATTTCAAGATTTCCAGCGATTTGGCCTAATGCTTTTTTTTCTAATTAAACCTGAAAAGTTCAACAAAAGCGACTTGTATTTGTCTGTATTTCAGTGGATGGGTGTTGAAGATTTAGAAATGCAGCTCATTCAGTTAAAAAGCTCAGAATTGTGGGCATCAAAGTTTTTTGGAGATCTGCGGAGTGCACTTGAAGCTACCGAGAGAGATCATGGGGCCTCTGTTTTGACCTGCTGGACGTCCCTGCCAGTGAAATTTTAACTGTTGGAAGAAAATTGCATTTGCAATGCTTTCAGCATTTGGATCCACATACCTGTGTGAACAGGTATTTTCACACATGAAATCTGTCCTCTGTCCCTGTCGGAGCTGGTTAACAACTGATCACTCAGAAGCCTGTGTGCAGCTTAAAGTATCAAAATACATGCCAGACATTGGAAAACTCAGCAAGGCAAAGCAAGGGCAAGGATCACACTAAACTGATAAGATCTGCATTTTAATTTAATTTTAAATGAAGCTTCTTAAACACTTTAAAAACCTTATTTACTTTGTTTGTCAGAGGGTGGAGATGGATGGCAGGAGAGAGATCACTTGATCATTACCTGTTAGGTTCACTCCCTCTGGGGCACCTGGCATTGGCCATTGTCGGCAGACAGGATACTGGGCTGGATGGACCTTTGGTCTAACCCTTTGTGGCAATTCTTATGTTCTTTACATACAACAATAGTTTAGTTATATAATATAGACTTAGAGAGAGGCCTAAAAACTTTAAAAAGTATTATTGGCACGCGAAATCTTAAATTAGGGTGAATAAATGAAGACATGGCACACCACTTCTGAAAGGTTGCCGACCCCTGCCCTAGTGATTCTAGAGTCAACTGAAGGTTCAGCATATCCTGGAGCAGTGTGCAGACTTTCCCTCTGGAGGAAGGGTCACTGCAATAAGGGATCACTTTTGTGGGAAAAGTTGAGGAAGGAGGGCATCATCATGATTGTGAGATGTTGGGAGGACACTCTTCTCTTTCTGTCTTCTCCAACCCACACTTTCCCTAGAGTTGAGAGAACAGTTCAGTGTTTTGAGGCTATATCCTTGATTAATGCATATTAACTCAAACTTGTGTGTTGCAGACTATGGATTTCCATAATACCTTGTTGATGGAAACAAGGGAAAATACTGTTTTGTTCAACTTGTGATTGTAAACTCTCTGACTAAATACCTTAGTTTCTTCTTTTTTCAGTTTTTTTAAATTGATTACAAGTTTCTTACAGATCTTTGTTTACATCTTAGCACTGGCAAATATGGAGCATGTTTTATACCTGGACTGTGTAAGCAAAGTGACCTGACACTATTTGCCTCAAGATCTGGGCTCCGCCTCTGGAAGTCTGATGTCCATGGAACTGTGCAGGCCACATTTATTTTAAAAGATGTATTTGCTGGAGGAATAAAGCCCTTTGAACTGTATCCTCGGCTGGAGTCATCTGACAAAGGAAATTACAGCTTCCCAGAGAAACACCTTGGGCTCATTTCTTGCCTTTCCCAGGAAGGATGGGTGTTGAGCTGGAACGAATATAGTATCTATTTATTTGACACTATGAACCAGGTAGGTTTATCTAGTGGATGCGTTTTTCGTTCCTTAACAGTTTGGCATCATATCAGTATTAACTCTTGTCTGTATCTGCATATTTGTCTGCATTTGTTATGTTGTGGTGACCTAAGAAAAGGTGTTAAACTTTTTTTAATAAAAGGTTTTAGAATTGATTACATTAATTTTGTCATAAAGATAAGATATCTAATATCTACAATAATTTATACTATCTAAGGTTTACAGTCTAAAGTACAGAAATTAATTGCCTAAAGTGAATTCCACACACCTAGGAAAACGTACGTATGTCTATAAAATTCTAGTTGTTCATGCTTTATATTTAAAGAAAAAAAGCTTAAGGGAGTTGTCAATGTATAATAATGTATTATCAAACTGTTTGTCCTCTCCCTTCCACTACCCTCATCACCCCTTTGCAAAACTTACCCCCCCCCCCCACACACACACAAGTATTGCACTTACATTCTATAAAGAAAAAAGAACGAGGACTACTTGTGGCACCTTAGAGACTAACAAATTTATTTGGTCATAAGCTTTCGTGGGCTAAAACCCACTTCATCAGATGCATGCAGTGGAAAATACAGTTGGAAGATCTATATACACTGGACCCTCACTAGAACACGGGATTTGGGATCCATGCGTGATACCGCGTTAACGCGGGGACTACGTTAAAATGAATTGCAATTAAAGTAATTAAATTTGGGATCCATGGCCGCGACTGTGTTACATGCGAATTCGCGCTATATAGACGCGCGTTCTGGCGAGGGTCCGGTGTGTGTGTGTGTATGTGTGTGTATATGTATATGTGTGTGTGTGTGTGTGTGTGTGTGTGTGTGTGTATATCTATCTATCTATATATATATATATATATATATATATATATATATATAAATAAATAAAAAAAATCTCTTCCTACTGTATTTGATGAAGTGGGTTTTAGCCCACGAAAGCTTATGCCCAGATAAATTTGTTAGTCTCTAAGGTGCCACAAGTACTCCTCGTTCTTTTTGCTGATACAGACTAACATGGCTGCTACTCTGAATTCTATAAAGAGAAAGCTATAAGCAGTTTCTCCAATTTAAAAGGTATATATGAGAGAGAAGACACACCTTTAGTAGTGTCATTATTATTGGGTTATCCCTCTATTTTTGGTACAAATTATATTGGCGATTTGTGGTCAGAGCTCTTCTCCCTCCCCAAACCACTCTCATTGAAGTTCAGTGATTTGATTCAAATCTCTTGGACAGGAATTAACGAATGAGCGGATGGCTAGAGAGTCAAAATCCTCAGTAGCGTAAAATTATGATAATGTCTGGTAGTTGTATGCATCATTTGCATTTTTTTAAATATTCCTTGTGTTTGGGGTCTCCAGACATCTCAGTATGAATTCTACTTTGCTGATGCTCAGCACTATTGAAAATCAAGCCACTTATTTAGGTGCTTAAATATGGACATAGAAGCCTGTCTTTAATCACCTATTTTTGAAAATATTGAAGGCAGCACAGAAATGAGGGTGGCAATCCCATGACCCCCCCCCCCACAACAGGTTTGTGACCACCCCCTCCCATCCCCTTTTGGGTCGGAACCCCCCCGGTTACAACACTGTGAAATTTCAGATTTAAACTGCTGAAAACGTGAAATTTACCAATTTTCAAATCCTATGGCTATGAAATTAACCATAATGGACCGTGAATTTGGTAGGGCCCTAAGTATGAGTAGTCATTTTTTAATTAATGCTCTTTACATGTATGTGGTTTTGTTTTTGTGTTTTGTTTTTTTAACAGGCTATAATAGGTGGCTTGGAAGGATCTGGTGATATTGTGTCTGTGTCGTGTACCAACAATGAGATTTTTCTCTTAAAGGGAGATAGAGACATAATAAGAATTTCAAGTAGACCTGAAGGACTTGTATCAATAGGTTTGTATAGATTTGTCAACTTTAATTTGTACCTTTTTAAAGAAAGTGGTGCATGGAAAGTGTTCTTGTATGGTTCCTTTAAAGAAACTTCCTCTAGCAACTTCTGTAGAATTGTCTCCCTGTTTCTTAAGATTACAAAAGGCCTAGATTCTCAACTGAGCCAAGTGTCTGCTCTTTGTAGCTGGAAAAGGTAACCGTTAGAGAAAAGGTTATAGCTCTCTGCTTCTGAGGGTGGTTCTGCATTGGCCATGACTTGGGAACTGCTCTAACCTACTCCACCTGGCAGCAGTCCCCAAGAAACGACACACGAGGTTGTGATTGCTGGAGTGCAGCACACTCTAGATGTGCATTATCCCTTCCCTTGGTAATGCTTCATTGACAGTCTTTTCTAATTTCTTCTTGTTGTTGTGTTGGATAATGAGTTTTATACTCTTAAAAGTGGCCATAAGTATAGGAAGGGATCATAAGCACTGGATGAAATTGTGTCAAACAAAGGTCTTGCAGAGTTGAAATGAACTTGTTCATCTTACTGGTGCTCTTTCTGTAGTGGAAAAAGGCAGTATGAAAAATCATGGATAAAAATAAAACAGAAGGAAATATGCACTTGAACAATTTTAAAATATCAAATGCATCCACAGACGGAAACAAAGATTCAGATATGCTCTCATGCAGTGCAGATATCACTTTAGCATGAGAAATAGACATCTCTCAGGCATTACTTGTCGTTCTAGCATTTGGGCTGCTTAATGCCATTTGTGTGTGGTTTTTAATCTTTGCTCCAGTACTAACAAAATACTACTAAATAAGCTATACAACAGTCTCTACAAATTCTAGAGACTTATTCTCTCTCATTTATCTTAATGCATAGATGTGCAAGAATAGCTTTGTTATTTAAGCAGCACTTCACCCACAGGCCTCTTGTGATTTTTTTTTTTTTTTTTTAAAGTGTTCTGGATACAATAGTAATGTAAAAAAACCAATCATGACAATTAAATTCTTAAAATGCTCTTGAATGCAAGACTAGAGATCCAGACAAATATGCAACCTCTAATTCTGTGTGCTATTGGAAAGAAGTCCTCTTGGAACATGTTTTCTTTGATTTTTGACTGCAATGGTTTAACTGGGGAATTAAATTTAGGGGCGTGATTTTGCAAGATGCTAAACGCCTCAATGGAGACAATGGGAGTTGAGGGTGTAGAAGTCTCTCTCAGAACTGCACACAGTTGGGCCCTGAAACCTAAAGGACTGTCTCTTTCAATATACAGGCATAACTCTGGCTAACATTAATGGAAGCTTTGTGCAGACACTGGAGCATGAATTGAGCTATTGCTAAAATAACGTTGTTTCAATATAGATGAGTTACATAAGATTACTGCACAGTATTGATGTGAAATGTTGTTGGTTTAGACAGCATACCTTGTGGGAATTAAAACCTTACTTTTCTTAGGACGCTCTCCAAGAGGTGTACTTCTAATTATTTAACAACTAAGGGTATGTCTACACTACGAGAGTATTTCGATTTTACTTAAATCGAATATGTGGAATCGATATTACAAAGTCAAACGTGTGTATCCACACTAAGGACAGTAATTCGACTTTGTGAGTCCACACTAACGGGGCAAGCGTTGACATTGGAAGCGGTGCACTGTGGGCAGCTATCCCACAGTTCCCTCAGTCCCTGCTGCCCATTGGAATTCTGGGTCGAGCCCCCAATGCCTGCTGGGGAAAAAAATGTGTTGAGGGTGGTTTTGGGTAACTGTCGTCATCCAACCGTCACTCCCGCCCTCCCTCCCTGAAAGCGCCGGCGGGCAATCAGTTCGCGTACTCTTCTGGTGAGTGACAGCGCGGACGCCACAGCACTGCGAGCATGGAGCCCGCTGCGACCATCGCTGCAGTTATGGCCGTTGTCAACACCTCGCACCTTATCGTCCACCTTTTCCAGAGGCAGATGCTGAGAAATCGGGCGAGGCTACGGCATTGCGGTGAGGACATGAAGTCTGAGAGTGGCACAGACCTCTCACAAAGCACGGGACCCCGCGCCGTGAACATCATGGTGGCAATGGGTCATGTTGATGCTGTGGAACAGCAATTCTGGGCCCGGGAAACAAGCACGGACTGGTGGGACCGTATAGTGCTGCAGGTCTGGGATGAATCCCAGTGGCTGCGAAACTTTCGGATGCGGAAGGGAACTTTCCTGGAACTTTGTGAGCTGCTGTCCCCTGCCCTGAAGCACAAGGACACCCGGATGCGAGCAGCCCTGACTGTCCAGAAGCGAGTGGCCATAGCCTTCTGGAAGCTTGCAACGCCAGACAGCTACCGGTCAGTCGCGAACCACTTTTGCGTGGGCAAATCTGCCGTGGGGGTTGCTGTGATGCAAGTAGCCAACGCAATCGTTGAGCTACTGCTCTCAAAGGTAGTGACCCTTGGAAACGTGCAGGTCATCATAGATGGCTTCGCCGCGATGGGATTCCCAAACTGCGGTGGGGCTATAGATGGAACTCACATCCCTATCCTGGGACCGGACCACCAGGCCAGCCAGTACATTAACTGAAAGGGCTACTTTTCAATGGTGCTGCAAGCACTGGTGGACCATAGGGGACGTTTTACAAACATCGTCGGATGGACGGGCAAGGTTCATGACGCTCGTGTTTTCAGGAACTCTGGTCTGTTTAGACGGCTGCAGGAAGGTATTTACTTCCCGGACCACAAAATAACTGTTGGGGATGTGGAGATGCCTGTAGTGATTTTCAGGGACCCAGCCTACCCGCTAATGCCCTGGCTCATGAAGCCCTATACAGGCGCCTTGGACACTGAAAAAGAACTCAACTACCGTCTGAGCAAGTGCAGAATGGTGGTGGAGTGTGCTTTTGGACGTCTCAAGGGGAGATGGAGAAGCTTACTGACTCGCTGTGATCTCAGCGAAACCAATATCCCCATTGTTATTGCAGCTTGCTGTGTGCTCCACAATCTGTGTGAGAGCAAGGGGGAGACCTTTATGGCGGGGTGGGAGGTTGAGGCAAATAGCCTGGCTGCTGATTACGCCCAGCCAGACAGCCGTGCGATTAGAAGAGCCCAGCGGGACGCGCTGTGCATCCGGGAGGCTTTGAAAGCTAGGTTCCTCAGTGAGCAGGGTAACCTGTGACTATTAAGTTTGTTTAAAGAGAAGCTGAACCTGCCCCCGTTTCTTTACCCGGTTAATGTTGACTATCCTCTCCAGCTACATACCCCGTTCCCCCCGTTCCCCCCCTTCCAACACACGTTTAAAAATAAAATAAATGGAACTTTGTTAATGAACCCCGTTTTCTTTATTACGGGTTTCGCGGTAAAGTGTTGAAACTGGGACGCAGACTGTGGTGGGGAGCGGGCGTAGTGATGGAAAGAACGCTTCTAAACTCGAGGAATGACAGGCTCCTGCTCCTAGAGCGGTCCGCAGTGGTGGACTGGTTGTTTAAACGGAGCCTGCCACCCCTCCTTTTCGGGACTCTGTGGGGGGGGGGGCTATGTGACTTTGTGGCGGGGGAGGACGGTTACAGATCCCCTGCTGCATGGCTCTGTGATCCAGGATAAGGACCGCTGCATAAGATCTCTAACCGCCCTCCCCCGCCACAAAGTCACATAGTCCCCCCCCCTCCCCCCGCAGAACATGAAAACCACCTCCCAGACTGACCAGGGTGCCTAGTGACTGCAATGTGTGTGTGACCTGCTGCTGAACCTGCCCCCGTGTCTGTACCCTGGTAAAGGTGACTGTCCTCTCCAATTACCAACCCCCTTCCACCCTTCAAACACACTCTCCTCTAAAAGAACATGATGGAAACAGTAATTAACAGAAACGTATTTTTTATTAGCAACTACACAGTTAGGGGATGACACTGGGATGGGGGCTTGGGTGAGGCGGGAAGGAAAGGACTTATCAAATTTTTGGGAATTAGAGCCTTCTGGTACTTGAGCAGTCTGCAGGGGTGGAGTGACAGTTTTCACGGCCCCTGGTTCCCCTCCTTCTTGGGACTTTGGGTGAGGGTGGTATGGGACTTTGTGGCGGGGGAGGGCGGTTAGAGAGAGACTGCAGCGGGACTCTGTCCTCCTGCCTCCGGTCCTGCAGAACATCCACAAGGCGCCGGAGCGTGTCCGTTTGCTCCCTCATTAGTCCAAGCAGCATTTGAGTCGCCTGCTGGTCTTCCTGCCTCCACCTCTCCTCCCGTTCAATGTGTGATCGATGGTATTGCGACATGTTCTCCCTCCACTGGGTCTGCTGGGCCGCCTCGGCTCGGGAGCAGCCCATAAGTTCTGAGAACATGTCGTCCCGTGTCCTTTTCTTTCTCCACCTAATCTGCGCCACCCTCTGGGAGGAGGATGCCAGGGTAGGTCGGGAGACAGTCGCAGCTGTGGGATGGGAAAAAGGGAGTGAATTCCTCAAAAAGATAATTTTTTGTGAACAATGAACATAGTCTTTCTCTGTGAACAAGACCATGCACAGCACCTATCACATGCGCACTCAGGACAAGGTTGAATTTTCGGCCTTCACATTCAGTGCCTGGGGTCTTGCAGTGGAGATCAGACAAGCGGGGCAGGACAGCGGAATTCGGGTAGCAGGCTGACATGGTAAGCCGTAGACTTTTGGCTGCTTAAAACTTAAATTATAGCAGAGCCCTCCTTTCACGTTCAAAGCAATGCTCCTAGCATTGGCCAGTTCCTGCTGCCGGCAATCCGGCAAGCATGAACTCTGCCCCTGTCCCACCTCCTCACGGCTGTCCCTGGGAAAGATCCCTGTATGCTGCCCCTCTCCCGCCTCCACTGCGTGGCTGTAAACCGCCGGTTACAGTTCTGTAAAGGAACAGGCAAGCAGTCCCAATAGTAACATTCCCCTAATTCTAAGCAGGTCACCATGAGCGACATCACTCTGCTGAGGATTTCTGAGACAGAGAAAGAACGCATGCTGCGTGAAAGCCAGCAAAAACCAGGGCCGTATGCCGCCATGCTCTGCAAGGCAATGATCCCAGAGTACTTGATGATAGCCTGGCGCAGAAAAGTTTCCTACCACGGAGGACACAATAAGGCCGCTCTCCCCAGGAACCTCATGCAAAGGCTTTCCAATTACCTCCAGGAGAGCTTCGTGGAGATGTCCCATGAGGATTTCAGCTCTATCCCCGGACATATAGACCTTATTTTCCAGTAGCTGCACTGGCAAGGACTAAAAAGTAGAGCGCCTAGGGCAAACTAATCATGAAAAATCCATTGTTAATATTCCTGTTCTGTTCAAAATAAATGTTTACATGTTTAAAACACTTACCGACTGATCCTTCCCCTGATTCAGGGTCCGGATTAACGCCTGGGGACGGTTGGTAGGGGATCTCTGTGAGGGTGATGAAGAGATCCTGGCTGTCGGGGAAATCAGCGTTGTAAGCGCTGTCGACTGCCTCGTCCTCCTCATCTCCTTCCTCATCTTCCCGTCCGCTAACATCTCCGAGGAACCAGCCGTTGACAATATCCCATCCTCAGAGTCCACGGTTAGTGGTGGGGTAGTGATGGCGGCCGCACCTAGAATGGAATGCAGTGCCTCGTAGAAACGGCATGTCTGGGGCTGGGATCCTGAACGTCCGTTTGCCTCTTTGGTCTTCTGGTACCCTTGTCTCAGCTCCTTGATTTTCACACGGCACTGCGTTGCATCCCGGCTGTATCCTCTCTCTGTCATGGCTTTTGAGATCTTCTCGTAGATCTTTGCATTCCGTCTCTTCGATCGCAGCTCCGAAAGCACGGACTCATTGCCCCACACAGCGATCAGATCCAAGACTTCCCAATCAGTCCATGCTGGGGCCCTCTTTCTATTCTGAGATTGCATGGTCACCTCTGCTGGAGAGCTCTGCATCGTTGCCAGTGCTGATGAGCTCACCACGATGTCCAAAATGAGATTCAAACTGCCCAGACAGGAAAAGGAATTCAAATTTTCCCGGGGCTTTTCCTGTGTGGCTGGTCAGAGCATCCGAACTCGGACTGCTGTCCAGAGCGTCAGAGTGGTGCACTGTGGGATAGCTCCCGGAGCTATTAGCGTCGATTTCCATCCACACCTACCCTAATTTGACATGGCCATGTCAAATTTAGCGCTACTCCCCTCGTTGGGGAGGAGTACAGAAATCGAATTTAAGAGACCTCTATGTCGAACTAAATAGCTTCGTTGTGTGGACGGATGCAGGGTTAATTCGATTTAACGCTGCTAAATTTGACATAACCTCCTAGTGTAGACCAGGCCTTAGTGTGTGTTGTTCTTTTTGTTTTGTCAGTTTCAGATGCAAATTCAAAATTGCTGAGTCCGTTACCAGATTTGAGTCCCAAATTGCAGAGCCCACTATCTGTGGTTGTATCTGTATTGCCTGGCCCTTCAGTGGAAACACACCAAAAAATAAAAATGGTTCCTTCCCCCAGAATTATTGGTGATAAAAATGACTCTTATTCTTTAGTGAAAGATGATCGGGAAACAACACTGGTATCGGAGAAAAGTCTTGATAGAGTGTGGGACTTAAGCAGTGAAACAAGAAAAAGAGGCTGTTCGGTAGCTAGTGAATCAAGAAGCAGGAGCAGTTCAGTAAATTCTGTGGACAGTGGCTCTAGTCTCCTGACAAGTGGAGACCAACCATTGTCTGAAGTGCATAGAGAGAGTCGACCTTCTTCACAACGGTTCAGCATAATCAGCTGTGAAGACTTTGACCAGGAACTCATTGTAAATCCCATCAAAGTAAAAAAGGAGAAGAAGAAAAAGAAGAGACAAGGTAAAAAAAACAAAACACATTCTCTAACTCTGCCACTTCTTAGAATTATTGTCACCTTTGTATCTGTTTCACTAAAAACATAAGTTTTTGTTTGGTTTTAAAGACAAGTCTTACATTTATGATGACATGTCTTTCAGTAATCATTACTTGTCACCTAACAGTAATTGATCTGTAGTCTTGCCCTTTCACTTGAGGATGAAAGCCCATTAAGAAAGTAATAAACTTGTATCTTTACAGGAGGGTGTCATTTTTCTCTCTGCAGACCTACTTACTCTTTATTATTTCTATTCTGATTTTAAGTTTGTTTTGACATTTATTTGTAACATTATGCAAAGCAGAAAAAAAGTGAGTATAAAAAAGGATTAATGCTAATAACTTCACTTTTGTTTTATTGTTTAATCTCTTTGTTACACTTAGAATATAAAAACAGTCAAATATTTTTACTATTCGCACCCATAAGCAACACTTCCTTGCCAGGTAAAAAGCATTTCTTTATGTACCATGGATTAGATTATATTGTCAGTTCTTATTCCTAGTAATAAACTGGTATTACAATTTTGAATTCTTGCCTATTAAGATTACATTGACCATTCTAATAAAACCTTAATCAAGCTGTTTATATGTGAGTACAATACTCCTTCATTCTCACTGTGTCAGTTTGTGCCACCCAATGGAGAAGTGATATAATTCTTAGTGTGTCAAAATTTGGACTAACTCCAGCTTCTAAAAATACAAATTTCCTGTTTGCTCATTAACAGTAGAAATATTTGCTTTCTTTTATTTTAATTGAACTTGGATAAGTTTTATTAATAAGAATATTTATCTTTTTTTTTTTTTTTTTTTTTTTTTCTCTGAGATCAGAAAATGTGACCAGGAAAAACCACAGTTCTCTGGAAGGTACACCAAATTATGAGCGTCAGTTTTCTGGTGATAGTGTACGTTCTCTAAATGCAGATTCATTGTCCATGACTTCTAGCCTAATGAGCTATAGTATAGATCACTTGAGCACAGGTTCTCCAGATCAGGAAAGTGAGTTCGGTGTGGAGTCACATGCTGTCTTGCAGGAGGATAATGGCTCGGAATCATTCAGTGTGCTTCAGTCTCCATGCATTAGTACTGCAACAGATTCGGAAGAAAATGGAGGTACAATTGAATTACTAAAACTTCCTAACAGGGACAGTGGAATGAATACACCAGCTGTTACACCTACTCTGATCTCCAACCCTCTCTTAATCCTCACTGAAGACGTAGGGGGTAGCGATGAAACAGAATGTAATCCAAGCCTGCTTTCTGAAAATACTGAATGCCATTCTAAATTGTTACCCCTAGAGGAACAACAGAATTTTCCTGTGCTATGTAAAGTAGATGAAACTTTAGCAAGAATAAGTCTGAAGGATACTGAAAATGCTTTTGAAGAAACTAAGATCACAGACAAAGTGTCTTTAGGTTTTAATACCACATGTAATGCTGAAAAATCACTGGCACAGGAAAGAAGTGATGAAGCTCACAGGGGAGAGCAGCAGCCACATTGTTTAATAAATACTGCCTCAGAAAACCCTACAGATCCCCAGCCTGACTTCTCTAGGGAAGATGTGTGTTCACAAGAGACTGCGGTTTCTGGATGGGACTTGGAGGATGCAATCAAAGCTAAGTGTAGTGCTGCTGCTGCTGAATGGGTAACCAACACACACGATACCAGGACTGAGAAATCTGCATCCAGTGATGAAGAGGATATTTATGGGCATGGACTACCATATTCATCTTCAGAGACTAGTGTGACAGAAATTGGGGGAAGTTTTACTTCCCAGGATATGACCAGAACAAGCCTAGATGAAATAATGCTCTTAAAATCAGATCAGGTATGTGCTGCATTTATAGTTTAAAATAGTTAAGATGCCAGTATTCTAGAAGAAGCAATCACAAACATTCTTCTTTAGTTATTTATGGAAGTGTTTTCTTCTCATTGATCCAGCAAGTAAAATTCAAATGGGGAAACTAAGCATATCCAATACACAATGCAAATTATTATTGCAGACTTCAAAACAGTATACAGAGGGCTATGTTTTCAGTGTGCTGAAGGAGGAATGCCTGTTAACACCTGTTCAAAAGGAGTTGTTTGTCCTAAGTCAGTGAAAAGGCTGTTGTGAACCCACCAAAAAGCAGTACAATACCAAAAAGTGCTCTAAGGTAGCACAATCATTTGAGTTTCTCAGGGCCCAATCCTGCAAGATGTTGGATACTTTCATCTCTCATTGATTTCAGTGGGAATGGAAGATGCTGAGCATCTCACAGGTTTGGGGTCTTAATGCATTTCTATTTAATCTTTGCCTATTTAAATCGTAAGTTGACATGGCAGGGACAAGTGTCTCTTTTTTTCATGTTTTGTACAGCAGTGAGCACATTGATGCTGAAAGAGACATTGTCAGTTACAACTTACGACTGGGTTTTCATATTATTTAAAATATTGAGTTTTTTTCCTTCCTCTGTTTTTTCTCTCTCCTTCACTGTTGCTGTGTGGAAGAAAGCCACAGAAATAGCAAATTTAACTAATGGACTGTACAGTGGAAAGAGTGAAACTTACTACAAAGGCCTTGATCCTGAACCGCTGGTGATGGGAGTTTTAACACTGACTTTATTTGTAGCAGGGTCAGGCTCAAAGTGCTATTAAATACACAATGTAAGCAAACTGAAAAAAATTATAAGTCTTGTCTCCTTCAGCTACAGTAACCTTTTGGTGTAACTTGTATCAACAACAGGTAAAATACTTTGACTTGATGTCCCAAATAACATGCTGCAAACTAAATAAAAATGTAGCTGTGTTCATTTCCCTTAAGTGATATACTCTATAAATAGTGGAAGAAGGCTGTGAATTTCAGAATCTGGAGGGGAAAACCTCATCTTCTGCAATGTTTTGAAATGCACCTCAGCATTTTAGTTAATGTACAGGCTATGGAGCTAGTTATTCTACAGGACTCTAGCTTGGTAATATAGGCTGTAAAATCCATAATATTCCATTAACAAGCCTTGAGTTTTATTTATTTATTGATTTATTTTTTGTATAGCAGAGGGACCCAAAGGTGTCAGAGCAGGCAGTTTATCCTCTCTCCTCACTCACAAGCGTGTATTCCAAAAGGGCCCTTTTCCCTTGTGTTAAATGATCATTAAAACATTAGTGAGGATTGGAAAGCTTTTGCATATTCCATTTTGGTGTTGCTGTTTACATAAGTAATTTATTTGCTTCTTTCAATTAACAGGGTAATATTGATGGATTTTTGGACTGCCCTGGGGAGGAGGAGGATAGTGTGGGGTTTTGTTTTATTTATTTTTTTGGTGAGACTCGCAATCCCAGCTGTCATGAGTTCAGGGCCGGCTCCAGGCTTTTTTTCTTTTTTTGGCGCTTTGCCGCTTCGGCCGCCCCGCAGGTTTTCTTCTTTTTGGTTCGTTGCTTTGGCCGCCCTGAGGGGGCGGCGGTGTGGAGGAGGGGAGCGGGCTGCACGCTCCGTCTGCCCCAGCCGGTGCCAGGTCTGCAGCAAGCCTGGCAGGACAGCCCGCGTCCTTCCCTGCCCGCTGACCGGCCGCCCCGCAGGGTTTGTGTTTGGCCCTGGATGAGTTATTCCTAAATACAGGTGGCAACATGTAGCAGTATGTACTCAATCACCTGGCTGGTGATAGGATTGTTTTATCAAAGGCATTTATTCTTTTGATGTAATTTTAATGTTTACATTCTGATTCTTAAAAAATGCTTCTGCTGTTTTATGTATGTATGCTGTATGTATGACTGTTTTCTTGTATATTTGAAGATACCTGACATTGTTCTGACTCTCCAGTTTTTAGTTTGCAGAAAGCTGGATGGGATATTCTGGCCCTGGCTATGGGATACTCAGCCTGGTTGTATCAGAAAAGTATATTTGGTGCCTGGACTACAAAGGTAGTCTCTACTGTAGTGCTTTACCTAGTGCAGGTCTGCGGTGGCAAAAGTTTGAAGATGCTGTCCAGCAGGTGGCAGTCTCGCCTTCAGGTTGGTTAAACTGCGTTTCACTTTTTGTTAACCTTTAAAATTAAAATGTATAAATTCGTGCAAATTAAACTCTTTTTAATATAACTGTATAACTACATGTGGCGTGTATTCCCCTCATCCCAGTACTTTGTGTATCAGTGTCTATAGTAGTCAGTGAGGATTGCTTTGCTGTCTGTAATCTGACTTGTTTTACAAAACACACCTGGACCGAGTTCCCTAATTCACTTGCACCAACTGTCTTTTAAAAGTTGTGAAAAGGCTATCTTGGCTCATGTGACTGCATTCCTGGAATATTAAAGTACTGTTTTCTAGCATAAATGGCTGTTCTCAAAATAGCAGAATATGAATTTGTTTGTTGAGCAGTTTTAAATATACCGCTGATGCATTATTGAATCTTTTTATTTTAGATTCTCATTTTATAGTTAAATTGTGAAATAAGAGGTTATTTTCTGAACAAAACATCATGTTTTATTTGAAAAATACCTACTCCTAAATAAGACTTTCTAATTAAAATGTAGCTTTGATATAAAAGTGAACTTACCACCACCCCTTCTCCACCCTCCATTCCCAGCACACACATTGTTATATTTTGACTGACTTTTTAAAAATTTATTTTTGGTGGCCTGGGAATGAAAGTTGGGAAGGGTGGGAGGGAACAGGTTTTGGATGTGGACTTGTACCCTGTTCACCTTTTCAGATTGCTCCAGTGCTGGTATGATTGTAAGCAGGTTTCTCAACCATTTTCTCATTCTAGTCTCCTCCCATAGCATGATTTCTTTTTCCATCTCTTGCCACTTAAAGCAGCTGATAACCTTACTGTCCTGTCTAAAGGATAGGAAGAGGTACTTCTTCAGTTTCTTGTTAAATTGTCACATTTGGTCAGGGACTGCTATCATATCCCCATCAGGGTTCATTTATAAGAGTATGTAAACAGACCAAAGAGGAGAAAACAGAATCAAATAATGCAATTCTGGGTATTGTACTTTCCTGTTCTGTGTAAAGGCTATTAATGTATCAGTATGCTGCACTGATTGCCATTTGAACTCAGAAGCATGACATGTTTAGATTTTGAATTCCATTACACTGCTCTGTTACCTTTTCATGATAGGACTGTTTACAAAGCAAAATTTGGGCCAGATTTTGAAAACTAGCTCCTGAAATTGCATCTGTAAATTCTGTCTGCTTGTACTACTGACCTCTGCTCTTTGGAATGTCACACCTGTTCAAGTATTTGACTGTCACTCACCAGTGGCTGACCTACAGAGATTATAAACTTTAACTTTACTACTGCTAATGAGCTAATAGAGAATATAAATGTTACAGAAATTTGCCTTGTGCTGCATATATGAATTTTTTTTTTTTAACCTGACAACTGTGATTAGCCACGGGATTAGTGTGTCTCTGTCTGTGTCTGTAGAAGTAGCAGGTATGTTTCAGAAGTTAGCATTGGGGCCATCTGTAAATTTGGCCTTAAGTATTTGTTTCATTTGGCACGGGATATTGTGTGTTTGATATTTTGAAAATAACCATGACTAGAGAGTGAATGAGTTAAAAACATTTTTCAGTAAGATTTAGTCTGTGGCAATATATATGGTTCAGCAACTCTCTGTAAAGCTGGTAACTGTTGTCTCCCTTTAAAACATTTTACAAATGTAACGTTATGTAAGATTAATAAAGATTTGCTAAATTTTGCATTTTTCTGTTAACTTGGCTGGCATTTATCTTTTCTGTTAATCATTTTGTTGTGTGTACAGTAGACCAGCTGTCTCTAAAGTTACAATCAATATTTGGTATCACCCACCATTCATTTTTATACAGGGGCTCTTCTCTGGAAGATTGAACAGAAAACTAACAAAGCATTTGCCTGTGGAAAAGTAACCATAAAAGGAAAGCGCCACTGGTATGAGGCTTTACCTCAGACAGTATTTGTAGCTTTAAGTGATGACACTGCCTGGATTATCAGAACTAATGGAGATCTGTATCTGCAAACAGGTATTTAAATTGTTGTCTTACAGTTTTTGTAAATGAGAATCAGAAGTGCGTAAATCTGTGAAATCATCATGATTTAATTTAAACCATGATCCGAATCCAGAATGAAACGGTTACGTATTCATGGCAGAGAAATCCTTTATCTTGGGAATCAATTATGAGATGTTATAATACAAGCCAAGGAAAGATTGTTTGTATTACCATAGCAACTAGCCCAAATCGTGGGCCAGCACCCCATTGTGCTAGATGCTGTACAAATACAGAACAAAAAAACCAGTCCCTGCCCTCAGTATCTTATAGAGGGGGCGTTTTGCAATAGGGAGGCGACTAAGAGCTCTGTTTTAGCCATGTTGAGCTTGAGCTGATGGCTAGAAATCCACAGGAGAGGTCAGAAAGAGGCCTGTATTTTCATTTGTACATAAGGAGACAGGCTTGGAATAGAGAGGTGGTGGCTGAATTTGTATTTACACATGAGATTACAACTCCTCTCTGCATAGACGGGGGGAGAAGAGGGAGAGCAAGGACAGAGTCCTGTGGAACAATCACAAAGTTGGAGGGGGGATGAGGAGGGCCCTTGAAAGGACACTCTGAAGAAGTTATTCAAGAGTTAGGAGGGGAACCAGAAGAGGGCAGAGTCATGGAAGCCTGGGGTGGGGGTTGGGATGGGGGTGGAACGACAAGATTTCCAAATGGCTATCGCAATTCTGCCTTGCACTTAAAATGGGTCATATTCTGTTCAATTTTCTCATGTATATCTAATATGTATGTGTAATAAAAAATTAAATATATATACCTTCTTTGTAATTGCTCTACTTGAGGAAACTTAAATATCCAGCATATTTTCAAGAATATCCTCCTTTTAAATTAAATTGTTAATGGGGTTGACTAGTTAGCAAAATCAAGCAACTTGCCCAGGACCATGCACTACTATTCAGCAGTGATAGTGATGGTAGCGAATGAGTTTGGTTCCATACATTGAGAGCTATGTGGAGTTTTTTAATCCGTATTTTCCTCTCTTGCTGGACGGTGGTTTAACAGCTTGCGTTCTACCATTTGTGGATTTCATAGATAGACTTAGATGCCAAAGTAAATCCTCCAGTGTGTGTCTCTTTTAACACAAGGCAACCAGGAAGAAAGACAGTAATGGTAGGGTGAGAACAATCCCTTCAGTACCTCCAGCATCCCATCTAACAGTTGCACCAGGAACTTGTGCCCCCAAGTTAGAAGCTGACTACTATAACTTCCTTTTTGGTATCCCCTAGACTGATGATAGTCAATCAGCTACCTCTTGCTTCAGAAGCATGAGAACTTGAGAAAAAGCTAATTCTCTCTTGAGCTTTTCCCTCACAGACATGAAAATCCAATTTGTATATAGTTCTGGACAGGAATATATGCAATTTAGAAGAATGGATGTGTCTAAATGTGTACAATAATTGTCTAACATCTTTTGATATTACAAGAGCTTTCACCTGTTGAATCATTCCAAGTCATTTCTAGTCTGTTTATTGATTAACATCTTATAAATGGAGATTCCTGATACTGCTACTTGGAGGAGGGAAGGAGAGGAAATTGCAGAATGAGAATGGTGGGCTCTCCACGAAGTTACTAAACTGAAAATGTTTGAGTTAAATATTCTAGCTTGATGTACAATGTTTTGTTTGTTAAAGTATAAACTGAACATTTCTACACTAAGGGCTGGTCCACACTAACCCCCCAGTTCGAACTAAGATACGCAACTTCAGCTACGTGAATAACATAGCTGAAGTCGAAGTATCTTAGTTCAAACTACAAAGTACTTACTGCGGGTCCACACGCGGCAGGCAGGCTCCCCCGTCGACTCCGCATACTCCTCTCGCAGAGCAGGAGTACCGGTGTCGACGGCGAGCACTTCCGGGATCGATTGCTTACCGCCGAACCCGGAGGTAAGTATAGACGTACCCTAAATGTTAAGTCTATGGAGATTACAGTAAAGTGAATATACAAGAAAATGTTAACATGCTCATCGAATTTTTCCCTTTGTGCTCTAACTTACCTGATTTGACAACACCACTTAATTACAGCAGCCACGCCTTCTTTTCTTTGTTTTGTTTCCAGGCCTGAGTGTGGATCGTCCATGTGCCAGAGCAGTAAAGGTTGATTGTATGTATCCGCTATCTCAAGTTACATCCAGAAACAATGTAGTGTGGGCACTGACTGAGCAGCGGGTGCTTCTCTATCGAGAGGGAGTAAGCAGCTTCTGTCCTGAAGGAGAACAATGGAAGTGTGATATTATCAGGTAATTGGGCAGTGTTTAATCAGAATGACAGAAAAGGTTGCTTTCATTCATGGGTATTTCATCTTACGGTAATTGAACCACTCACCTCTTGCTTATAAAGCGTTTTGCATCCAAATTGTAATCCTCAGGTTACCTTATCAGTGCATCTTGTTACGTCACACTTTAATCAGTCAGTGGGCAAAAAAGGACAGTACTTGGAAGACATTTATTGGTGGTGAATGGGGAATGTTTAACAGAAGCGTGTATGGGAGGGAAAACAGTGGAAGAATCCTTGAAATGTGAATTAATGAAATAGGCCTTTTTTACACTGTTTAGTTCTTTCATTTGTGCTATAATGGTGCTCCCATTATTTAAATTGGATCTCCAAATATTTAATAGTTTATTTTTCAAGAATACATGTATATGTTTACAGTTGACTTTGTCAGTCAGTCACTTACAAGACTAGAAGTTGCACTGGATATCTCACCCCCAAATTCACCTCAGATACAATTGGGTAGTATATTTTACTTCTGTAGCTAGTTTCACCAGAATTCCTGCTTTTTAGCTTATCAGCAACAGACCAGTTTGTTCTGCCTTCCTGATCCAGAGAGTAGTTACATCCTATATTATCTTGTAAAATGTATGGAAATGTGTCCATTCTTGCATAAATCAATGCCATCTCTTTCCCAATAGGTAATTACTTTAACATTAGCCTTTAACCTGACCCTTGTATTTGATTTTTATTTATTTTTTTGAAAGATTAGAGGGGGGGGGGGACTAATGTTCAAATCTACAACTTGAATCCAATTATTACATCGAAGAAAGTTGAATCTCTTCTATGTAAATACACAAGACTGACTTATAAACCAGGTATCCTGCATGTTCTCAGACTTGACTTTTAGGACTGTTCAAATCAATGCAAATTGAGATTTCTGAACTATTCTGGAAGGCATGTTGGAAGTGACTATCAGAATAGGATTGCCAACTTAACTTTTTTGATTTTAAAAATACTGTTTATAGTGATCAGTTTTCTTTGGGCTTAGACGTGTGATTGTTTCATACAGGAAGCTTTTGTAATCAGGATCAGCTTCTGTCCTTATTGTATAGTCATAACCAGTTCAAGATTATGCTGTCTGTGCTCTTAATGTTCTAGTCACAATGGAGAGAAACAAAATCAAAACAAAACAAAAAAAGCTTGTGACATTACATTTTAAAGTTTTTGCAGAAAATCGATAGCTACCATTTTTATCATTTATGTATGGTTATGTGCTGAAGAATTCAACACTGGTCCATTATGATATTTGTAGTCTTGATATTCACATAAAACAACTCCAGGAGGCTTATTCTTGCTTTTAGAATTCTACTCATGGGAAGATATCTAATAAAATTTAAGTTACTGGATAAATATGGAGATGTCCAAAGATTTGTTTTATTTTACATGTTGGTAGTACCATATGAAGAACTTCTTTTCCACTCTAGTTTCTTATTTATTTTGAAGGTTTTAAGGAAGATTTTAATGTGTTATGTATTTTAAAACGTCTTTTGCATTTGCAGTGAAATGCAAGCTTTGGAACCAGTGTGCATAACGCTTGGAGACCAACAGACGTTATGGGCTTTGGACATACATGGAAATCTATGGTTCAGAACTGGTGTAGTTTCAAAGAAACCGCAAGGGGATGATGACCATTGGTGGCAAGTATGTACTCCTTATTCAGCTTTCAGTAAAGTCCATCATTCCATCGTTGTGATGTTTTCTTGCAGGGATCCCAACCTAAAAATATCAAGAAATAATTGCTCGGAGGCTTACAAGCATTTATTAATACACCTGTAATGGAACGACCAGACTCTGGTGGCTGAGGCCCATTTTTAAATCTGTTCCCTGAAAGGAGTTAAACATTGCAATATCAGCCAGAGGAAAAATAAAACAGTGACAGGACAGTTTCCTTTAGCCCAATTTAAAAAAAAAATGCAGGGAGGCTGCTTTTCACCTAATCCAACTAGTTCCAAAGCACACAGGACTGCTTCCTTCAGCCACAGAGTCTGTAAGGGGAAAATGATGACAAAAACAATTCTTACTGGGCTTATTCTCAGGAATCCGTATAGAATCCCTGATCATGTTGTTCACATCCTTACTTATGTTTTGGGGTCTTTGTTCCCCCCGATCATCTCTGGAGGAGGCGGATTGTCCACTCCTCCGCCTGTCTTTCCTGAGTGGTTTAGTCAAAAATATCTTCCTGTGTGTGTGTGTGTGTGTGTGTGTGTGTGTGTGTGTGTGTGTGTGT